TTCAATGATCAACTGATGACGTTGCAATGCAGAAAATAATAACAAGCCTAGATGTTTTAAGTCATACTACGGACTTCTGAGACACGTATCCCAGCCTAATTATCGTACGAATGATCTTGGACAAAGAAATGAGAGAAAAAAAACTCTTCAAGTACTAATAGTGATAATAGGTTTATGGCAGCTAAACAAACAGCTTATGACAACAAACATCGTCAATATTTGTCCATACAGGGGACTTCAACAGGCCAAGGCCTCATTCGCCATACACAAAATACCAATAACCAAACCAAAGCTAGAAAAAAGGTTTTATCACTTCACTTTCTCTCTTACAAAGGCCAGAACAGGAAGTCAACAGGACAGTTCAGCCAGCCACCCTAATATGCAAATAAAGGGAAATTGACATGCCTTCTATTTTTGAATATGGGCCTACGTTTCCAAATAGACTAAAAAACTTAGGTCAGCTCCCTATAGTAGCTCAAAAGCTAAAATATCAATACAATGTTTTTAACTAACTAAAGTAAACCATTAAAGTCCTGACTGTCAAATTCCTCTATAGCAGTCAAGTAGACTTGTGTTTGTTTGGACAGCAGATCAAAGAATGCTACAATATAATTATTAAACAAAAGAGTGTTGGGAATAATACAACTGCATTATAACAAACTGTAGCTACAGTATATTAATAAACTATGGAGTCAATTATGTCTAGAAAAAAATCATAATATATTCATAACTGCTAATTCAACGTAAATACCCCACCAATACAGCTCATTGAGGTAAAGTTGGTTTTATAGCCGCACATTCAGACTTTGTCCTTAATAATATAACTTCAGAAAAGTATTCTGTGTGAATTCTAAATAGTAAAATCATATTTTGAGGTAAAGTTGTTTTTATATTTGTACATTTGTTCATTTTGGTACAGTTAAAACTTGTGACAGGCTACTTTAAATATTGGCTCTGGAATCTCATGTGAGGAATTCAACACAACATTAACATCATATAATTGACTGTGAACAATGTTGTACTTTGATAGTCATTGGCTATTAATATGTTTAACCTATTTAGAGTTAACACTGAATACTTCTCTGAAGTTCTATTATTAGGGAGAAAGTCTGAATGTGTGAATATAAAAACTACTTTACCTCAATATAGAGCCTATATATGCAATCAAATAAATAAATGCATAATAAATAAATAAGTGCAAAAAATAAATACAATTTGTAAAAAAAATTAATAAAAAAACATGTAAATTATGATATTCATCCCTATTTTGCAAGTTAATGATTCTTGTCACATAGGAAAAACACGTTGTAGAGATGTCATTTGCTTTATCACTATCCGCCAACAGATTGTACATGGATTTTTAGACGATTTCCTTTATTTTTAGTTTTCGAAACACAAAAGGGTTACTGCCTTTAATACTTTTGAGATATAAAAACGTATTAAAACTGATTGAAAGATTAAAACTGACCTAAAAGAATTACTAAAAAAATAACAGCTACATATTTGTAAATAAGCCCCTTTGAGATTATTTGGTCTCTGACAATGTTGATAAATGCTGAGTAGGAAAATTGGGAAACATTGGGAAAAACATTTTAGAAAAAAAGTTACCATACAAACAAACGAAGAGCCTGCATTCAATGCCTGAAAAGGTTAAATAACTAAAATAAAAACAATGCATTATTGATAATTATTTTATTGTAATAGTCTAGGAATAATAATAATAATAATAATAATAATAATAATAATAAATATAGCTGCAAGCAGCAATTAACGGGGGTCAAGCAGTTTAGCAGGGTAAGGTCATATAGCAGTTAGGACGCCTGTAAGTAGTTTATTCGACAACGAAATATACGATTAGAGTGTTAAAGTTTATAGATTGAGCTAACAAATGTTTGATTAAACACTCCAGAGAAGCAACTTCGATTTTTACATATTGACAAATTTTAATGAACATTTCGAGTGACCGCTTTTAAGTCAAAGTGACCAGTATAAGCAGCCCTAAGATATAATGTGTAGATCGAGTCATGGCACCTTAGACAAAGACAGAGCATGTCAAATTTCTAGTTAATCAGATAAATGGTTACTCAGATACAGTGATTTTACAATGTATAGCGCCACCATGTGGCCAATGTCTACGAGTTTCATGCTATGACCTCTGATTAACCACTTGCATATGTGTAATAAGTTTGGTGTAGATATTTCAATCCATTCATGAGTTTTGGCTATTTTAGCTCTTCCCAACAAAAATGACAAAACTATATCACTATATAAAGTAATAATTTTGTGTTTTATTAAAAGAATTAAAAAATCTACAGAGTAAAAGATGTGACAAGCTTTGACAAAATTTAATCTTAAATGCATTAATTGTGTTCAGTTCATGTCAATTTGGGATTCAGAATGCATTACATTACATAACATTCTTTGCTATAGAGCAGTAAAATAAACTATAAACTATGAGTGGTCTGTTACTTCCATCTAGTTGCAACAGTTGTGATTTTCTTTACACATGTTTTAAAACAAGGTGTTTAATTATAGAACCAGTTTTGCCTATTAGAATTATTACACAGAGGTTAACTGTGACCAAATTAGATGTTTAATGCATAGCAGTGTTTATATCAGGTCAAAATATGATTCAGAATGATCCTAAATGCAATTTCCCTGATTTCAAATCAAAAAGATGTAAAACAACAAAGGTATGCAAATGTTATGAACAATAAATAAGTGGTCTTGTTGTGACATCTAGTGGTTAGAAATGGTAAGTGACAGTTAAAAGTCTGTGTTATAGTGGCTAAAATGATAGAATATTGAAAATATGTGTTTTTAAGACATTTAAACATCCAATATGGGCAAGAAAAATTAACTTGTACATCATTTCAGTGATAGGTGTGTATATGAAGCACATTTACTGCATTTTTAAGCCATTTTATGATGTTTTTAGAACCATTTCTACTATTATAGCGCCACCTATTGCCCGATCACCACAAAATTTTGCATGTTAATTCGCATTGATATGCCACATGTGCTCATTAATTTCTGTGATGTTTTGGGTTTTTCTTATTGGTTTACAGGCATGTAGGTTCGTGTAGACACGCCCCTTTTGTAAATGAGCCTGTTACAGCTATCTAAAATGGAAAGTTCAACATTTTTTTGATAATTATTGATCTACTCAGTCCAGAGGTTCATTTAACACTGGTTTCGTTGTGATTGAGCTAAAAACCAGGGACTAGTTCGCAAAAGTATGTTTTGTTTATATTGATGGTTTTTTAATGAACGGTGTGAGTGACAGCAGTGGCTTTAGTGTCAAACTGTTCGGTATGAGCAGACCTATCACATGATATGTAGATTAAGTGTATTTGTGAAATAGTGTTTAAATGAAGCACATTTACTTTATTTTTAAGCCATTTGGCATGTTTTTAAGACTATTTTTGCTATTATAGCGCCACCTATGGTTTGATCTTCACAAAATTTTGCAAGTTTCTTCTCATTGATATGGCACATGTGCTCACCAATTTCTGTGATGTTGTGAGTTTTCCTTATTGGTTTACAGGCATGTAGGTCCGTGTGGACACGCCCCTTTTGTAAATTAGCCTGTTACAGCTAGCCAAAGTAAAAAGTTCAACTTTTTTTTGATAATTATTGATCTACACAGTCCAGAGATTCCACCAACACTGGTTTCGTTGCGATTGAGTGAAAAACCAGGGACTAGTTCGCAAAAGTAGGTTTTTCATATGTTGATGAATATTTAATGAACAGTGCGAGTGACAGCAGTGATTTTAGTGTCAAACTGTTCGGTATAAGCAGGCCTATCATATGATATGTATTTTCTGTGGTTTTGCAAAAGGTTGTGTGATACACAACTCATTACACCTTAAAATTGTGTAAAATCGCCCCCTAGTGGCCGATTTCTTTCAAAATTCTTACAGACCTCTAGGACAGTGAGTCGAACATGCCCAGCGAGTTTCGTTACGATCACTGATCGTTAACCTTGTTAAATGGCTGCTCAATATTTATTGGCTAATGGCGGCCATGTTTTTTGAGATGTGCCAATGTCCTTATAATGATTCATGGCAAACTGATCAAAGACACTGCATGCCAAATTTCAAGTTGATCGGACTAACGGTTGTAAGGTTAGAGTCATTTTATGGTTTTTAAGCTTTATAGCGCCACAGTGTGGCCAAAGTCTACTGTTTTTGCACTGTGACCTGAAATTGAGCTTATACATGTGTGTACCAAGTTTGGTGATGATATCTCATTCCGTTCAAAAGTTATAGCCACAATTAGCATTTAGCTTCAATTAGCATTGAACATTGTTGTGTACTGTTTCGAGTGAGAATAAAAATGTCAACTTTTTTTTGATAATTATTGATATTCAGTGTCTAGAGAACATTTGAGAGCTGGTTTGGTTTAGATTGAGTGAAAAACCTAGGACTAGTTCGCAAAAATAGGTTTCGGACAAATTGCGATGTAGCGGGAAAACGGTGCGCCGTAGAGCAAAAAGTGCAGCTGTGCACTTTTGTTCGGGTTAACCCAAGGATTCAAAATATGTAAAGTTTTTGAGTCTACGACAAACGGTAAACAAATAACGGCCAAAAATGTCCAAAAAGTGGGTTTTTGGCGCCATAGCGCCACCTATGGTCCGATTTGGCTGATCTTTGGTGAGAACGTAGTGTACCGGGGTACTACCTTCTGGCCAAGTTTCAGCTCTCTCGGCCTTACGGTTTGGCCTGGGCAATAGTGACTTCGGCAGAATAATAATAATAATAAAAATCCTAACAAATACAATAGGGTTTCAGCGCTACGCGCTTGACCCCCTAATAATAATATGCCGTGCTAAAAGGGCGGAGTATTAAAACTTTTCCATGCAGAATCATAGACCAAAACTAGCTATGGTTAACTCATCGGCAGTTTATTAATTAAACTTTTGAGTCAGTGGCATATTTTATGACACTCAGATAATGTCATATCTACATTATTTCCGTATAAGACAGAACGGCACTCACTCGGTTTTCTTGCGTGATCTGTTGGCGTGGAGGTCCACTAAATTGATGACAGCCTGCCCCAAAAACTTGTCTAGCCCCACCAGGGCACGGTGCATGGCGATGATGTACAGCGTGCATCGTTCCACGTCCCCCTGATGTACCAGCGGCAAGTCGAACGTCGCTTCCTCCTTCCATTCCGGTGAGACGCATTTCTCCGCTACCGAGGTGGAAAACTTGTCCTTGCCCACCTGCATGATGGCATAGGCGTCGTTCGTTCCATTTTTGCCCTTGATACGTAAGTTTCGTGCTTTGAGCACGGTTACCTGAACGCTGGTGGGATACCACTGCTGGTCACCCAAAGACATGTTTAAATACAAGTTCAAACGGGACTAAAATTGCTCTTTGTAAGTACGTCCCTGCTTGATGTTTGCCGTGTGTCCGGCGTCGTTCAAAGCTACTGTGTGTAACTGTTCTGTTTGGGAGATCTCACAAGTCCCGCCCTTTACGCATGACGCACAGTGTGTACCCAGCGCTCAGGTGATGCAGGTATCACACCATTCTTCAAGTTAAGCTATTACAGAAGAGCTTATGATGGTTTATTTTAGAATTCCGGGTTAATGCTACTTTAAACAATGTGTCTGTACCGCTTTTACTCTTTGGCCCTAATTTCAGTATTATTTTAACCTCAAAAAGTTAACAGTAAACGATGGTTGATTGAATATGTCAACGAGTTCGACAACAGAAAACCAATCAGACACTAGCATAGCATTCATTGACTATTCATGCACGTTTCGCAGTCACAAAATACCTTAAAACCTCAGTGGAGTTTACCTTCATGGATATTTAAAAATGTTCTATGTTTAAGCACGGTTACCTGAACGCTTATTGGATTTTCAATATGTAACCCCTATTTACTTCCTCGGGTCAAATGAACCACATAAAGTATATTTAGCAAGATGACAACAGAACAAGGGAGCGTGAGTAATTATTATGAAGCCGATTATTCATCCTCCCTCAGATCAGTCTGCTCCAGGCACTAGAGAAACAGTATCCTTAGTAGTTTACAAGCGTGATGTTCATTCCTTTGTCCTACGTGACAGTATTTGTTCCGCCCAGTCACTACAATACAGCACTCTGATAGGATAAATTACGTGTCAGTCGAATAACAACTAACTTTGAATTGGTTTAAACTCTTGTGAAGGATGTGAATTTGCATTTCACATGGAAACAGAGGTTACGTAATTGTCAGACGCAAATCGTTGGGCTGGGATTTTTTTTTTTTCATTTAGATAGATACAGGCCTGTAGCCTGGTGAAGTTAGTGGTTCTTTTTTTTTTTTTTTTTCAAACATAGACCTTTTTGCAGTAACTTTCAATGTAGTTATTAAATTTAAATACTGCATTTTAGTGACATTTTAAGCACTAATTTTTAGCTGAATTCACTTGTTGGATGGTGGTCATTATAACCACACTTTTTGATGTACCAAATATTTCCTAAAGATTTAGAATAAATAAATGTGATAAAATACTTATTTTTTAAAATTATAAATTTATTACATCATATATCATTAGAAAAAAAAGGAATCTGTTAAAGTTTTACATTAAAAACTGTAGCTTATTGTCATTTATGAGACAAATAAACTGGCCAGCACATTCAACCTTCCTCAGTCAGAATTTAGCCATTTCAAAACAAGAAAATATTAAATTATTTATAATAAAAGTTACTTGTAAAATGTTTTTTTTTTCTATTTAAAAACAATACAGTAGTGAAAGATGACTTCTTTTACATCATTTTGTGTGTTCACTTGCACAGCTGGATATTGGACTCTGGATCATATCATTGGGCAAAACTTATTAGCTGAAGCCACACTGAATCAACATTCCGTTTCCATCAGCACGGATTCTGTTTGCTCTTAAAGCCATTTTTAATGGGTTATTTTCACTATTTATGATGGCATGGCAGTCAAAATAGATCCACCCAAACCCTCCCTGGCAACGGGCCTGTATAACACAATTTAAGATCAAAGTGAAAATGATTTGAAATATTCTCGTAGTTTTTACCAAACCTTTATTTTGCATCATGTCGTTCATAAGGCACAATCTTAACATCTATAGCAAATATATTACTGAAATTGGTACAAAAAATGTTGCTATCATTTTCATATGATGTGAGTGACAAAATATATATAAATACTCATGTTACTATTGAAATCTCCCTTTTAAATGTAGAGATTACAATCAAAACATTGAGGAACACAATGAATTTAAACTGACCCTCAGACACTTTAGGTCTACCCAGAGAAAAATACGATTGTTCATGCAAATATCACAATGTCACATGAAACCATTATGCACACATAAGACATTTAAAATGTAAATCCCTTAAAGAAAAAAAAGGAAAACAAAACAATTTGTGTATAAACATGGTACACTTTGAGCAGACCACAAATTTCATGGTTGTGTTTTGTTTGCTTTTTCAAAAGACATTTTGCACCAAGAACTACTTATTTAAACCAAAATTAAGTAACACATGAAATGTTCAATGACATGATGGTGAGCAGTGTATTTCAGCCTTTAAAATTAATATTTTAACCTACATAGTCATCATGGCTTTACATGATTTGTGATTGTGGGAAAAAGGAAAATTAGTTCAGTATGTCTGTTTTTTAATACAGGTTTGACAATGATGAGGGCAATGATTTCTTGCTTGAAGGGGTCAACGGGAAACTACACAATATTGAAAATGTTCAGCATTAATTGTCTGTGAGCTTCTTTGGCACATAAATATCCCTGAACACAATTTAAAGTAAGCTGAAGACAAATACTCTGTTTCACTTGTTACTTTGCCATGATGGGACACAGGGGATAATAGCACTATATTCAGAATTTTTTAGCTTGTGGGCTTGGTGGGGTGGGGAAGAAAAACTGTCAGTGTGAAGATTGGAATTCACCATTTGGCTTCTGGTTGTGATTGTCCATTCTTTGCTTTCATATTAAGAATGATTTCGACATTTCAGGGTTAGAATCAGTCAAGCTTGACATAATTTTTTGTTCAAATACTTTTTGTGGTTTTTGTTTTTTATATGTTATCTGATTATCTTTTGGGAGAAGCTTGTGTCATTTCTGGTCAAAAACAAAAATAACAACAACAACCAAAAAAACTTGCTTGTTGAGTAAAAGTAACTTAAAGTCAGAATTTGTCAGTGGTACAGTATGAATAATCTCGGGCATGACTGTATATCCTTGTTTCCGAGTACAAATGTCTACTTCATTTTTGCTAACTATTTTTGGGATGATCAATGCTTCGTAGTGAACAAAACCTGTTCTATGTGGTGTTGATAACACAAAAAGAGGAAGTTGGAGTTTGAGGTCCAGCTTGAATATGTTAGTGTGCATTTAAAGACTAAAAAGTTGATAAATCAGGCTTCCAATCCTCTGTAAATACTGATATTATGACACTGCATAATGACAATAAAAGTTACTCAAAATATTAATACTGATATGTATAATATAAATACTTATCATTTAAAAGAATGTGTCAAATGCTTTATCCATAACCTGAACCAAGTGCTTAAAAAGTCCATGTTACACATGGCACTACAACTAATCATTTATGGACAAACACTTGCCCTTCCTTATAAATCCCTTAATACTCTGGGTGACATCTGAATGAGTTGTCACTTTGTTGATATCATTCGTCCATCAACAGGATTCATTTTCAGTGCATTTGATCAATGACAGAAATGGCCCAGCAGAGGGCACTATTAAGCAACTTTTCCAATGGTTCTCTATAATTCTCTACAAAAAGTTGAAATAACACTGTAATGGTCGAACAATACATACAAAACACATAATACATTCTTACAGACACGTAAATGAAATTGTGTGTATGAAACAAATGCATAAAACATGAAAACACAAAGGGACTGAAGAAGAAAAACTGAACAGGAAAAATCAAGCAGATGTTCGACCGTTCTGATCAATCTGCATAGTCAATAACAGCTGAACTTCAGGTTCAAATCCCTTGGCATATTCAGTATTAAACGATTAATTTCGTTCAAACAGTCTGTAATAGTAAGTGGTATAACAAGCTAAAAAAGCACACAAAATCATTTTGCATATTTTGCCACACCAACTCCTCCACCAATTTCTTTTTAGAGGAGCCACAATTTGCATACACGCACCCATTCGCTTTTTCTTTGTATAAAACAATCAAACATACTTTTCTTTATTATATGCTTAGCATAGACTTAGTATGTTGGACTGTTCAAACACCTCAAACAACTTGCAAATAGCTGGTTTATATAAAGAGCCAAAGATTCATCTTCACTGTTAAAACATGATAATAATAATAAACCAGCCTAAGCTGCAGTGTTGTGGTAGACTCTCATTTCTAAGTCAGGATGAAGACCCCGAAAGAGTCTTGGACGGAGTAAACACAATTTCCTTTAATATGAATGAACCTTTGATTTGTCCCCATCCTGAGACATGATAGACTAAATCTTATCTGCAGTCATGTAGTACACATGTCCATGCTCTTGAACACAAAGACCCTGGAAAAAGAAGAAGAAGAAAGAAAACAAAAAAAAAAAAAAACAACGTAGAATATCAAAACACTGTTAATCTGGTTTGCTGGTCATTGTCTGGCCAAGTTAGTGTTTAGCTGCATAGATAATTGTCCAAAACTCTTCTAAAACCAGGCAATAGACCAACTAAAACCAGCAAACTACCTTATACTGGTTTAAGCTGGTTTAATCAGCAGGGTTGTGGAGAAATAACTCATTCTTTGGCATACAGGTCACCTTCAGAAAACTTTCAAAGTCTGTTAACTCTACCTGAAACTCATTGTTATACAGTCGTCTCGCTCTTCCATACCCTGCTCTTCATACCCACCGAACCTTGTGATTGGTCAGTTCCACTAGTGTCCAGTTCCACCACAGATCCCTTTAGTGTTCCATTTGGTGCTGAAACTGTCGACAATGAGGCTGTCGCAGTAACATTTGATGACATGTTTAAAGGGAATGAGCTCCGCTTGGACTCTCTCTCAGCTGCAGCAGCCAGTTTAAGATTGTCTTTGCTAGCGCTGCGGCACTGAGCATTCTGCTGCATAGCAGCCCTACGTGCTACCGAAGGCAACAGTGGAAAAGGTTTTCTACTTCCACTGCTACCTCCATCACTACCTTCCGAAGGGCTCGTCGCCAGTCCTTCCCCTCTGTGCCGCCCGTTGGTCAGAAGGCCATTCTGGCCCTCTGAATGGCTATTTCGTAGACTTCCATTCTCACTGGAAGCATGTTTGTGTACATGGTAAATGTTTGAGTGCTCTGTGCCAGAAGGTCCCAGAGCACCCATGCTACCCCCTCCACCTGCTCTGAGAGCTTTGAGGCGGTAGTGACTTCTGGCGTCTCCTCTGTGATGGTACTGGGTATTGCCACCCTTGGTTCTACTACAAGCTTTCCTCCTTTGAGGCTGCTGGACGGGCAGTAAACTAGGCAGCAGATTGTTGGTTGGCTTATTGTTCTCTGTGCTTGTGCTTGTATTGGTATTAGTTCCCGCCGGTGCCCGACTAGCATTGTTTGCATTATCTTGGGACACTTGGAGGAGGTTAGTAAGCTTGCTAGGTACAACAGTGATACTTGCTGTTCCACTCTGAGTTGAAGATGACCTGGCAGAAGAAGAGTAATGGTTTGGGTCCGTAGGTGGATGGCATGCTACAAAAAGCTGGGAGCCCCTTTCTGAGGCACTCTGAACACCCACTGTGACAGTGCAGGGGTGGGAATAGGCTGGCATGGGTTGAGAGCGATGATAGCCTGGACAACACCCTAGCCAAGCTGCCTGGACATCCAAACGCTTGAAACAGTGATGGAGCACTAAAAAGATGCCTAAACCGGTAGCTGTTCCTCCATATAGGCAACTGAAGAGTTTCCGCTCTCTATCCACATGCCAAACTGCCATAGCGCCGCAGCACCACAGCCCAACAAACACAAACTGGGTTGCCATCAGTGCCAGACACTGGACCTTCAATGAGTACTGGTCCTCCACTGTTGTTCCAGCATGCACCGGGCTGACCCCAGAGTCTGTGGAAAGAAGACTGGTGCTGCCGCTGAGTGCCGGTTGACTCTCTGGCAAATTTGAAGGGTCGGATGCAGAGCATTGAAGATCTTTAGACTCCTGGAAGTTTCGCTGCCTCAGGCAGAAAACAGTGCACAGGAAGTAGATCCAGGTCACAAGAATGATCAATCCAGCTGGAATGTAGAAAGCTCCGAAACTGGGTTGCCATACCAACCAGCAGCTGTCAAAAGGTCAAGAGCAATGAAAAAGGTCAGGGAGGGCAGGGCAGTAATTAGTCAAATAGCAGAAACACAAAGAAAGCTCTGTACGAAACAGACACTTTTTTAAAGAGCCTGTAAAGAAGCGGTCCAGCATGTGCAGTAAATCTGCTACAAGTATCAGACAGTGAAAGAACAGAAGCTAATAAAAACTAACATATGACTTCAGACAATTTAATTCTATATTAAGCGTCACCAGTCTCTCTGTAGGACTGTAATGTGATAAAAAAACACCATGTGATGAAATGTGACTAAACATATCCTTTAATTGCTGTACAGACTCATAAATGTAATACTAAAATCGAACTATTTTAATTGCAGAGTGGAGTACATATACAGTACTGATTACAGTGCTCTAGTTAGTCTGCAGTAAAGTGTGCTTCAGTTATACAGCGAATGCATGCCAAAATATGTACTGTAATCGCAAATATTAAATAAAAATATTACAATGATAAATCTAACAATACGGGGAAAAGAGATTTGATAAACAGAAAACAAGTGCAGTTATACACACGATTATGCCGTTGAACTGTTGTAAGAAATCCAATATGATGCTCGTAGCAGTGCTATATGGCTGTATATCGGCACTGATGGGGGGCAATAAGGCACTCGGCCTGTGGCCTTGAACCAACGCACGCCTCCCACCAGTGCTGACATATCGCAGCCATACAGCCATATCGCATTGCTACTTGTTTGAAATTGCTCATATATAATCAATGTTTATGTTAGCATAATTCTACAGAAAATAACAGTAATAAGAGTACTCACTAAGGAATGTTGTCTCCATAGTTATTGATGTTTACTGCTGCAGTGATACCACATATGATTAGAGGGACGCCGCCGGCTATCAAGTAAAACCTGTCAAGAGAAATGATAACACTTACAAAAAAAAAAAACAAAAACAAAAAAAAAACAACACTTTAACCATGTTAACGCACTACTATGATGATTACTACTACTACTACAATTACTATAACTAATAATAATAGTTTAAACATTCCAAGTAATACAGGTAAATATAAACAGGGATGGGCTAAAATACATTGAAAATGTATTTTAAATTAAAATACCCAAATACCTCAATTTTACATGTATCAGAATAAACTAAAAAATAGAGCAGCGACAACAAGTATCAAAATAAAATGTTGTATTTTGAATATACTACAAAATATATTTACATGGAGTATAAAATTTCTTTGCAAACCTTCTATCATAAGGCATATGCAATCAATCCCATTTACCATTAAACTGACTAAGTGAAGAAAACAATGTTTGGTAACAGCTTTTTTCTGAGCAAGTTTAAATCTTTAAAGGCTCATACACACCGGAGCGCTTTTTGTTTGCGTTTATTGTCAGTGTTTGTCTAGACATTTTTCTGGATTAAAACCCAAAAGATTTTCCCTGCCGTCGAGCAAAAGAGTATGCAAAATCACTCCTTGAAGTTAGATGGCACTACACAACTTTTAGCTTCTGACACCTGCTTTTAACACAGAAAAAGAAGAGAGAAATTTGACATGCTTGTTGTTAAAGATACTGGCGATTATAACAAGCAGGGATAATTCAAAGCAGCTTCAGCTCTAGCGATGAAGAAATTATTATTGTTCACTAGTACAATAAGCAGCTCCACATTCATATCGCATCTGAACAACTTCTTCAGTGAGCGCTCTCATTGACAGTTTTGTAAATGAGCGACTCTAAGTGATGTTTACTTTAACTTCAGCAGCTCCGTGCACATAAAAAAAGTGCAAATCAGAGTGGAGGAGAAGGTTTTGACATGTCATGTCAAAACAAAACAAAAAAAAAGGAGCATGAGGCGTTTCTTTAAAAATTATACTTTAGCGCCTGACGTTTTGCGTTTAATTTAGTCTCGAGGTGTTAAACGTTTAGGAACAACGCAAGTAAAAAGCGGTTTGCACGGGCCTTAAGACTTGTTTTATGCTGTTGGTCTTTTTTCTTGTCATTTACATCTACATCTATTTTTAGTTCTCCTTTAATTGGAAAAGTCTCAGTTTACCCCCTAAGTGAACACCAGCACACAATCTTAGAGTGTTTTATTATTCTAAATTTCCACCTGCAGCAATGAGACTGAGTATGATTTTGTGCTGAAGGCTTCATATCCTGTTCTTAAGAACTGATATTTATTCCATCTTATTTCTTAAGCATAAATGCATAATTTCCATCCATACAACAAGCATTGACCACCTTCGTAATCATTTTTCTGTTTTGACCTCAATCTTAGAAAAATAACTGAAAAAGCATCATTCTGAGGCGGCATTTTAAGATGTCATCATATACACTTTTAACAAAGTATTTTACAGTATTTAAAAAAAAATACAAAAATACAAGACCCTTAAGTATTTTGATACAAAATATTAAGCCATTTTCATAAACCCTATCAAATACAAATTACAAAATACTATTTTGTATTAAAAATATGTATTAGAAATACAGTGTTGGGCAAGCTACTTGACAAATGTAGTTAGCTAAGCTATTAGCTACTCTACTTAAAATGTAGCTTAACTACACTAAAGCTACCCCCTGGAATATGTAGCAAGCTAAGCTGAAAGCTACACGGCAAAAGTAGCTTAGCTACATCTAAGCTATTTTTACAATTTTCATTTTTAAATCGAAGCAACTTAAATCCAAGTCAATCATATCTTAGTGATCAATAAAACTGTCAATGAAACATATGAGGCATAATAGTTCAGTTCAATTAGGCTATTCACTGTAAATAATATGCTGTATTAAACAGAAACACATTATAGTGTATAACAGCTAAAACAAAAAAATTCAATAAAACCAGGTGTTACACATTTGAAATACTATAGTCATTAAAGGGAAATATTTTGATAATATATATATATATATATATATATATATATATATATATATATATATATATATATATTGTAATAACCATTATAATGTTTTATATACTAAAGTATTTTTATTTTTTGAGCACAGCATCAGAAATTAAATTATTGCATCTTAACATGTACTTCTCGAGGTATGGTCTCAAGGAATCCTGCTTCAGAAATAACTATTCTCCCTCAGTCATAGAGGTGGCAGTAACGCACCAAAAAGTTTGTTGTCGAACACCGTAAAACAGGAAGAAGAAGAAATCATCCTTCTCCCTATCATATGGATTTACTTCCATCGGCTAGACACCGGCCTTACAGCTCAGTAAATGTCGGTGCCGTCACTTATTGATCCACGATCGGTAAATGTAGCTTGTGTGGATGCTACTTTGCTACTTGACTAATAAATTAGCTTCGCTACTGAAAAGCTATTGGATTTAGAAAGTAGCGACCATACAGCAACGCTACTGAGAAATGTAGTTGCGCTAGTAGCGTCACTACTTGTAGCAACCCTACTGCCCAACACTGTTGAAATACATGTATCATAAATACTGCCCATCCCTGTATATAAATATATGCAAAAATATATTACAAAAAAGGGTACTCTGTCTTTTTACAGCTCTGTAGTCAAGGCTTCAATCTGGACATTTTATTTTAGTAAGAAGCCTTTGTACAAATGTAAGGCTCAAAGCGCACAAATACTTAGTTGAGATTTAAATTTCAACCTAATAATGGGGAATTTCTACCACAGTGTTTTGGGCATACACTAATAATGCTAGTTAGCAGTCAGATGTAAGATAAAAATATTTAAGACATATTGCTGCTATGATGCATATATTACCTTTGACCTTTGCTTGACATAAAAAATAAATGAATGTGATCTTTAAACATTGGGCTGGTTCTTTGTCAATGTGTGTCAGTGAAGAGCCAAATCTGGGCTCCAGACAGTGAAAGAAAGGGAGAAAACATAACAGGATATTTCCCAGGGGACAAGCGTGGGATCTGACCAGACCTTCCCCTGGGGATGTTGAGAGCATGGAGGTCTAGTGTAAAAACAGAGAACACAGGCTATAGGGAATGAATATATTTGCATGCATGTCTTTAAGGACATGTGAAAGTTTGCCCCAACTAGTCCCGTTCAACTGATTTAGCAACTTTTCCATTTCTCCCATTTTTCTCTCTTTCTTTTTCTTTGTCCGACTCTAACAGCAGATGGGATTCAGCTTTTATCTGGACAATGTCGCTCTTTGATTAGTCTTTTGGTGGTCCATTCAGAGACTCTCAAAAGCCTATTTTATGTACGCGTCTATCAGCAGTTTCTGCTCAGGAAGTGCTAATTCAATATGGCATCTAAACATAAAGCTGTCAATGCTTCAAAACTGATTTGAGATATGAGTTCCTATAATGATAATGACAACAAGGTCCATTCAGCGTGTCGGCTAATGTTATAGTCACACTATTACAAAAGCAGTTATTCCAAGCGCTTTCTATAAGTAACCGTTTTTTTATGCAGCTTATACAAATAAACATGTAATTTAAATTTAATAATAATTATAATTAACTCATTCATTCATTCATTCATTCATTCATTCATTCATTCATTCATTCATTCATTTTCTTTCAGTTAAGTGTCTATTTCAGAGGCTACCACAACGGAATGAGCCGGCAAATATTCCAGCATATGTTTTACGTAGCCCTTCCACCCACAACCCGGTACTGGGAAACATCCATACATTCTCGCAAACACACACACACTTATATGCTAAGGCCAATTTAGTTAATCCAATTCACCTATAGCGCATGTCTTTGGACTGTGGGGGAAATCAAAGCACTTGGAGGAAACCCACGACAACACAGGGAGGACATGCAAACTCCACAGCCCAGCCAGGACTTGAACCAGCAACCTTTTTGCTGTGAGGCAACAGTGCTAACCACTGACCCACCATGCCACCCATTATAATTCACTATATAATAATAATAGTAATATGTTTAAGGTGCTTAGCACTATTCTAAGCCAGCATGAGCTGCTACTTTGCTAATTAAAGCAAAGTAGTTATTAAGAGATAAGCCAAATACAAGAGAAATGCTTGATTTTACTTAGCATCTGTAAATTCTGCATCTATATCCTGAAAGATATAAACTAACAGAACATAAGTTTAGTGTTGAAGTTTTTTTTAGTGAGGCGACATGGTGGCTCAATGGTTAGCACTATTGCCTCACAGCAAGAAGGCCGCTAGTCTGAGTCCTGTCTGGAGTTGGAAAAACTGTCCTGTGGAGTTTGTGTTCACATAGGTTTTCTCTGGGTGCTCCAGTTTTCCCCACAGACCAAAGACATGTGCTATAGGTGAATTGAATAAGCTAAATTGGCCGTAGTGCATGTGTGAATGAGTGTGTATGGATGTTTCCCTGGACTGAGTTGCAGCTGGAAGGGCATTAGCTGTGTAAAACACAAGCTGGATAAGTTGGTGGTTTATTCCGCTGTGGCGACCCCTGATGAATAAAGGGACTAAGCCGAAGGATAATAAATGAATGAGGTTTAATTTAAATAAATGTTATATAGCATCTAGCAATTCTAGAATGAGTTCTAAAAGATCATGTGACAATGAAAACTGACTCAATGGCATGCCATTACAGGAGTAAAACATATGAAAACACAAAACACTTGTTTTAAATTGCAATAATATTTCATAGTTTACAATAGTATAGTTTTAACGGTAAGAACAAAATAAAATAAATGCAGCTGCGATCAACAAAATTAACAACTGTGTATATACAAGTCAATTTAAAAGCAGCATATCCAGTGTTATCTCATGTATTAGAAAAAACGCTGAAATATCCAATTTGAATTTTAAAAAAAATGCTAACGTGTACCCTTTAAAACAATGATAGTCCAAATAGGTGTATTGAGTCATTTACAAAGAATTATTGTTCAACAACATTTTTATTGGACCCAAGTTCATATTATTTGAGAGTTGTAAGAGTGCTTGTAAAAGATACATTTCCGAAAACCTTCAAGAAACCGAATGCTCCCAACCTTACATGGGAACTTTACTGACCTAAGCATGGGCCTTTGGGTTGGTTGTACAGCAGATTCTCCTTCTAGTTGCTGTGGAGTTCTTAATAAGGCTTCTTTATAGATAACCCTGGCACTAACACCAATCCATAACAAAGTGGAGAGAGAGGAGTAGTGAAGAACAATCCCTACCTGAAAAAACAAAACAAATGCATATATGAGTAATGATAAACACAATAAACACAGTACAGTAACAATTAGGGCTGCACAAAACTGAAAAAAGTGCAATAATGTTGAGCATTGCGATAACAATACAATTTACAATAAAAACATTTTTATTAGCTATGTTTTTGAATAATTTACTTATTTAATGATATTAAACAGGTAAAATATGGTTCCCCTTCGGGGGGAACTTCAGCATTATAAGTGGATTTGATGTTCTAAATCCACATATGGGAGGATTCGGTTCAGAAGCCGCTCGTCTGAAAGAGTATTGAACGGGCCAATAAAAGCAATGAATTGGCAGCGCAAGCTTGCTCAGGTGTGCTGCATCGCCAATTAACTGAGCATATAAGCACACCTGGCGCTAGCAAACGCTATCCTTTTCGCTTCAGAGACTTTTCTGATCGAGTTCATGAGGGTTCCTCCTGCTGATCTACAGCCACTTCGAGCGAACGAGTGTCTCCCGGTCCAGAGCGAGTCCACGCAGTGGCAGATGGTCGAGCTGGGTTTCTCCCTTGCCTGGCGTCCCTTTGGGTCCGGTCCTCCAGAGCGGTGCGTATTGTTGCAAAGCATAACCTAAAAGAGCAACACAGTCGTGCAGCACGTCCTTTTCAGGACGGCGCTCCGACTGTGCGTTTCTGGTTGCGGGGGTTTCCTGGCTCCGGATGATGGGCACGATCACTGCATTACATGTTTGGGGGTCCAGCATGTTAGTGTGGTGCTCGGGGGCGGTTCATGTCGTCACTACGATGCCATGACCGTCGCGCAGTTGAGATCGCGGCTAACTTTCGTGAGAGAGCGAGCCACCCCAGTCGCCTCCTGCTCTGCAGCGGGCGCTCGGGCAGATCTGAGGGTTCCAGTGAAAGATAATCCGCCGCCTAAGGGCTTGCGGACCTCTCGCTCCTCCAAGCGCTCCATCCAAGCTTCGGGCGCTGGGAGTGATCCGTCTAATCAGATGGTAGCTCTCACGCTCGCTGACACCAGAGATCAGATGTCCTCCATCGAAGGGTGGGCTTTCATTGTCCGACGATGATCCGGACCCGTTCGCCCCCTTCGGGCAGGTGAGCGCTGTCAAAACGGATACTGAAACGGACGTGTTAGCCGTGCTTTCCCGGGCTGCTTCGGCCGTGGGTTGGAGATGGTTTATCCCCCAGCTCCGCGGCCGGACCGACTAGAGGGGCGTTCCCTTCTTCCCGGCGACGCACAGTAGGCTCACGCAGTCTTAAAGAGCACCTTTTTTCTGCTCGTGCTGCGTGTCCCTCCACCCTCACCACTCTTGGTGGTGGAGCGGCCAGGGGGTATGTGGCGATTCCTCAGGTTGAGTGTGCGATGGCGGTTAATCCGCGCGACGCCTCTTCTTGGCGGGGTCTGGCTCGTCTCCCATCCAAAGCCTGTGAGTTTTCGGCTCCCTCGGAGCTAGAGCTTACAAAGCTATGGACCAGGCTGCATCCGCCTTGCATGCGAAAGCCACCGACCAGCGCTACCAAGCGCAGGCGCTGGCCGAGCTGCACGAGGGTGGGTCCAACCCAGGCTTATGAGCTTCGCACCGCAGCCGACTAAGCTCTTCGGACTACTAAGTCCGCTGCGTGTGCTTTGGGGAGGACGATGTCCACACTAGTGGTCCAGCAGCCCCACCGCTAACAAAACTTGGTTGATATGCGCGAAGTTGACAAAGTCCGCTTTCTTGACTCGCCCATATCCCAAGCTGGTCGGCGACAAAGTCTGCGAATTCACCCAGGAATTCGAGGCAGTGAGAGAGCAGTCCGATGGGTGATGTCTAATCGGCGGCCCCGTAAGCCCGCTCCGCCCACCGTGCCATCCATACCTGCTCCTCGCCGAAGGCGCCCGCCTACGAGAGCTGCACCGCCCCCGCACACTCGCCTCTGGCGAAGCGAGCGCGTCAAGCACCTCGGAAGCAGGCAACTCCCCCTGCCCAGAACGCCGCTAAGTCCGGCAAAGGACCGCGAAGCCTGCCTGGGACAGGTCATCTGGAGAGGAGGGAACTTGCTCTTTCCCCGCTGGAGGGCGGGGCGCCATTTCCAACGGCACCTTTTACTGCCATGAAATGAAAGGGCACTTTTCCACTTCCCCGGAGGTGACAGCCCGAAATCTGCCAGTTTGAGCTCAGCTCTCTAGCTCGTAGGTTCGGTGCACTCCGCCAGTGGCTCACGGGCACTGCAGGCTCAATTGTCTCGACGATTGGCTGATTTTAGCCCACTCTCAGGAGTAACTGACTGCGCACAGAGACGAGGTGCTCCGGCAACTGGGAAAAGAGCAAACTCGCCCCGGTGCAGAGGATCTCTTTTCTCGGACTGGAGCTGGACTCGGTCACCATGGTAGCGCGCCTCTCCGGAGAGCGAGCTCGCCTGCTGCTGAACTGTCTGAGGGAGCTCGACAGCAATATAGTGGTCCCCCTGAAATATTTTCAGAGGCTCCTCTGGCATATGGCTTCTGCTGCGGCTGTCACGCCGCTCGGACTGCTCCATATGAGACCACTTCAGCACTGGCTTCAAGATCGAGTTCCAAGACGCGCATGGCATGCGGGCACACACCGAGTCTCTGTTACTGCGCTGTGTCGCCGCACCCTCAGCCCCTGGAACGACCCCTCGTTCCTGCAGGCCGGTGTGCCTCTGGGACAGGTGTCAAGTCATGTTGTTGTCTCAACAGATGCTTCCAGCACAGGCTGGGGAGCCGTGTGTAGCGGGCATGCAGCTGCGGTAGGTGCCCAGCTGCATTGGCATATCAATCGTCTAGAGCTGTTGGCAGTGTTCCTTGCTCTCCGCCGTGTTTCTCCGGTGCTGGGGCAGCAACACGTGCTGGTCAGGACGGACAGTACGGCGGCGGCAGCGTATATCAACCGCATGGGGGGTATGCGCTCTCGCCGCATGTCTCAGCTCGCCCGCCGTCTGCTCCTCTGGAGTCACCCGCGGCTGAAGTCGCTGCGCGCCATTTACATCCCAGGTATGCTCAACCGTGCAGCCGATGTGCTCTCACTGCAGCTGATTCACTCTGGAGAATGGAGACTCCACCCCAAGTCTATCCAGCTGATATGGGCGCGATTTGGGGAGGCCCAGATTGATCTGTTCACTCGCCCGAGAACGCTCATTGCCAGTTGCTTTATTCCCTGACCGAGAGCTTGCTCGGCATGGATGCACTGGCCCACAGCTGGCCTCGGGGCATACGCAAGTATGCTTTTCCCCCAGTGAGCCTGATCGCGCAGTTACTGTGCAAGGTCAGGGAGGACGAGGAGCAGGTTCTGTTAGTTGCGCCCCTCTGGCCCAACCGGACCTGGATATCAGAGCTCTCCCTCCTCACGACGGCCCTCCCATGGCAGATCCCTTTGAGAGAGGACCTACTTTCTCAGGGACAAGGCACCATCTGGCACCCTCGCCCCGATCTCTGGAACCTCCACGTGTGGTCCATAGACGCGAGGAAGACTTAGGTAACCTGCCGCCCCCGGTGGTTGATACCATCACTCAGGCTAGAGCCCCCTCCACGAGGCGCGCCTACGCCCTGAAGTGGAGTCTATTCACTGAATGGTGTATCTCTCGCAGAAGACCCCTGATCTTGCCAGATCAGTGTTGTGCTCTCTTTCCTTCAAGAGAAGCTGGATAGCAGGCTGTCGCCCTCCACTCTCAAGGTTTGCGTTGCCGCCATCTCCGCTCACCATGACGCGGTGGCTGGCGGCACCATGGGAAAGCATAACCTCATCACCCGGTTCCTCAGAGGCGCTAGGCGAATTAATCCAACTCGCCCCCTATCACGCCCTCTTAGGATCTCGCCCTCGTTCTCACGAGCCTGCGATTTGATCCCTTCGAGCCACTCGATACAGTATCCTTAAGATTTCTGTCCCTGAAGACAGCTCTGCTGGTCGCGTTGGCCTCCATTAAGAGGGTCGGGGACCTGGAGGCATTTTCGGTCAGTGACTCGTGCCTGGAATTCTGGCCGGATTTTTCTCACGTTATCCTGAGACCCCGCCCGGGTTATGTGCCCAAAGTTCCTACCACTCCCTTTAGAGATCAGGTAGTAACCCTGCAAGCGCTGCCCCCGGCGGAGGCAGAACCAGCCCTTTCCTTACTTGTCCAGTTCGCGCCTTGCGCATTATGTGGACTTTACTCAGTACTTTAGATCTTCTGAGCAGCTCTTTGTCTGTTATGGCGGACGGCAGCAGGGAAGTGCCGTGTCTAAACAACGTTTATCCCACTGGATTGTGGAGGCCATTTCATGTGCTTATTTGAGCAGAGGTCAGCCGCGCCCCCCGGGAGTGCGTGCGCACTCCACTTGGAGCGTTGCATCCTCTTGGGCGTGTGCGCGCGGCGCTTCTTTAACAGACATTGTAGAGCTGCGGGCTGGGCGACACCCAACACATTTGCAAGGTTTTATAATCTGCGAGTGGAGCCGGTTTCCTCAAGGGTGTTAGGGACCTTTGGTGATTGAGGAAACAATTCGGTGGGTGTTGTAGCACGCTTGCGGTGCCTTTGTTCCCTAACACGGAGAGATGTGCACCCTCCTGTCAGTAAAGTTCCCCATTCTGTGAGCCCTGCAGATTCCTCCGAGGCCCCCAGCACTGACTCAGCGGAGGAGTCACTCGCTGGCCCACTACGTTAGGTCTGCCCGCTGGTCAGCCCGCGTTTTTGGGTACAGGTGCCTGCTATGGCCGATCCCCGCTGGTGATCCCCATATGCTTTTCCGCCACGGTTAAGTTCCCCCCTCTGGATGGACCCGTGCTTTCCCTATCCGCTAACCACCTTCTTATGCGCACTCCCCCTTCTCAGGGTTAGTCCATATGTATTCAATTTGTTTCCCTATTGGGTGCGGATGGTCTCCGCAGCGTCCTCCCTACTGGCATGGCACGCTTCCCAACGTACTGTCGTATATTCCTAGAATTATCTAGACGCTATCGACTCCCAAAAAAATATACCTATTCCGTAAAGCTTCTTTTGAAGTGGGGATAAGTTAGGGCCAAGGGCACGTTGGAGGACCGCGCCTCTCATGATTTGGGTGCGTCACGCTTGCCTGACTGCCCTCTCATGGTGGGTGTTGGTAAGGTGCAGTCATTATGGCGCTTTCAATGGGCTCCCATACGTGGATTTAGAACATCAAATCCACTTATAGTGCTGAAGTTCCCCCCGAAGGGGAACGTTCGAGGTTACTAAAGTAACCCTTCGTTCCCCGAGGAGGGGAACGGAAGCACTATACTCCGTCGCCATAATGACTGTCCCTTAGCTGTTAAAAGTCTCTTCAGCTTAAAAAGGATAGCGTTTGCTAGCGCCAAGCTTGCGCTGCCAATTCATTGCTTTAATTGGCCCGTTCAATACTCTTTCAGACGAGCAGCTTCTGAACCGAATCCTCCCATACGTGGATTTAGAACATCAAATCCACTTATAGTGCTTCCGTTCCCCTCCTCGGGGAACGAAGGGTTATTTTAGTAACCTCGAACGTTTTCAGATCTAATTAATGCTAAATCACACAAAAAACTGTGTCAATATGCTAACATTTAGGGCTCTATTTTGACAGTCCATGCACAGAGCGCAAAACGCAGGGCGCAAACGCTTTCAGGCCGTGTCAGAACGCATATTTGCTAATTTAAGGATGGGAAAATCCGCTTTGCGCCGTGGCGCATAGTCTAAAAGGGTTGAGTTTATTTTCTCAATGAGTTATAGGTGTGTTTTGAGAATAAACCAATTAGAGTCTCATCTTCCATTCCCTTTAAGAGCCAGCTGCCTCACGCCATAAGCGCATTTGTTATTTACAGGACGTAAAGTAAGTCTAAGTGGAAAAACTGAGCATTTCACTAGCAAACTGTAAACAGTTAACAGATTTATTTAACAGAAAACTGTTAAACAGAGCATCTACTGCATGAGAATGAGAGATAATGGATCCAGTTTCACTTTTGCTCTTGGATAGGGAAACCTTTACGCACAGACATCAATTAGTCTATAAATAATTAATTTTGTTTGTTAAGCGCAAATATTCGTTTTAAAACTATTTTTAAATTCAGTTCTAATTTCTAGCAAACGAATAAATGAACAATAATAACAAAGTGTGTTCAAAAACCTGAGTTATATCCTAAAACACCTGCTGTGCCCCATATGGTCTAAAACCTGACAGGTGCAAATCTAAGCTTGTTTTTAATAAAACAAATATACATATTAATATAATAAATAATACTGCTAATATTAATATTATACAAAAGCAAATTGTTATGAATGAACTGAAAAAGCCTCCTGAGATGAAGAAGACATAAAAGCAGTGATTTTTCATATTTATGTAGGCTAGAAAATAATGTTCTGTAATATTTAACCCTTTATATTTATATCCTATATCTATTCTTATTATATCCTATATTTATCCTTAATATTTAATTTTTTTCATATGTAACGATATTTTCCTATTGCTCTCTTGTGCATATTAAGCAGTGTGTAAGCGAGGCACAACTCTGCGCTGGAGTTTAGACCGGGTTTGTTTTGGTCTAATGAAAAATCTATTTTAGTTTCTCAAAATAGCAACGCGCCAGCAGTGCGCCTCAGAATGCCTTCCTTTTTAGACCAGAACGCCTATGGGCGCACATATGAGCGCTAATGCATTTGCTATTTAAACAGCGTAGCGCAACGCCTCAAAACGACTCTTGCGCCAAGCTGAAACTAGCAAAAGAATATTGCGCTGCACCTTGCGCCACATTGCGCCGGGTGTATGATAGGGCCCTTAGTCTTTAAAACACTACAAATGAGTGAAAACCTAGCCAGATGTTCTGACACTGATTGGCTGTTTATAAGTATTTGTTTTCAGCAATGGGTTCGCCTTTGGGCCACTCCAACCAATAGCAGAACAGCAAACACTGGGGAGGTGGCAGATAGTGAGGCTCCATCTGATCAAACTGGTCAAATTTAGACAAACAACCAGGCCCGCCCGGCGCCAGGATGTCATAACTGAGGGGGTATTTTAATCCCATAGGTGGGCACTAGACTCTAGAGTTAACGCTATTTATTGTTACATTGCATTACTGCTTAAGTTACTGACTTAGGGCAGTTATATACTTTTTTATAGTAATAATAATAATATGCTATTACTGATTTTATCAATGAAGGTTATGCAACAACACCGTTTACATGCAAGCTAACCCACGGTTAGACTATTCTATAACCGGTAAATAAATATAGTGAAATCAGAATAATCATCACGGTTCGTGTCCTCTATTACCCAACCAACATCGGTGTTATGAAATAGTTAAATGTTACAATCTAATGTCATTTAAAAAAATAGTAGCTGAATGTGTTGCTTAGTTACAGTTGGCATTAGTATACACACAACTCAATAGACCACAGGTGTCAAACTAAGGTGTCAACAGGGTTGGAACTAAACTGTGCCGGACTTCGGCCCTCCAGGAATTGAGTTTGACACCCCTGCAATAGACTATAAAACTTTTTTTTTCATAATTTTAAAGACAAAAATAAAGATTTATATTAGGTGAGTTTTTTTTTTTTTTTTTATTCGTGATATTGATAAAAACCATTAGGCTAATAGGCGTACTCGTCATTTTATTTATTTATTTAGCCTATTTTAATAACTTTTCAGGTTACATTTATTAGGTCCATGAGCTACAAATCAAAACAAAATCAATATGCTAACTGTATTTTAGCTGTTAAAACAGGCCTACATTATATTTTTTAACAGTAGCCTATTACATATTTTTTAAAGATTATTCTTCACCCTACCTGCAGCGCATGTGAGAAGTTGATCCGCGGCAAATCCACTTACTCAAGCACTATATTTCATTTATAACATTGTAAACTTGACTTTGAAGGCCGATCATCTTTAAACTCCAAAGACATTTTGAGGTGTCCTAATTTGAGACTGGTGCTGCATAATAGGATGTTTCTAAAAGTGATACCAAAATGAAAGCAAACATTTAAAAGGCTTCTGCGTTTTGTCAATTTTAGCTTAATTTTGATAATATAATTAATGAATATAATAAAATAAAATATTAATAACAGTGTAGACTATTGTGGGACTGTGCAGTGTCCAACTAAACATTTTTTATCGCCTACCTGAAAAACTGTGAAAATCACTGGCAGTTGCATTTTTGCTAAAATTTACTTACAGCAAATTGCATTTTATCCCTTTAGAGCTCAAGAGAGTTGTATTAAAATAATTAGTTAACCAAAACATGTAATGTATTAGGCTACTCGCCTTAACATCGCTCACTAGTCCAGTTTAGAGTGTGTCTGCTCAACAGCTGCGTGCACGTTTTAAAGGCTATATGTGAGCGCACCCTGACCTGACACGGGGACTAGATCACTAGACTATAAGCCTAGCATTAATTTCACAATTTTCATAATTTAATTGCTATTTCATATTATAGAATGGGAGTGATTAATGACAGAAAGAATTTTCAGTTTTGAGTGAACAGTGCTTTATGAAAACTAGGGGGGCACAAATTCTTTCCCCCGTAGTGTTAGGCCTGCAAACAACCATTCCATAAAGTAATTTATTACACGTCTGCGTATGTATATTAGATATACTATTATCACAATTATAATTTTAAATTATTATATAAATTAATTTTCTATTATATTTATATTATAATTTTAGCAGCTATCATTTATTGATATTGTGCAGCCTTAGTAACCATACACACAAATAAACATTGTTTACATAATATACACATTTTTCTTATTTTAATTTTAATTATATTTTAATAACCTGCAACAACTCATGGCCAAACAAAGATCATGATTTATTTATTTTTTACTTTTTCTTTTTTTTTTTAACTGAAAATCTCCACAAAATCTCCTCCATCTCTGGTATGGATTTTGTTTCTGTCTCAAACCTTTGTTTATTCTCCATGAAGACCCTGAAAAGTTGTGGGAAAAGTACTTAATCGAACAAAACACTTTTTTTTGTACAAAACCAAAATAGTGACTTACTGCCTGGCATACAATTGGGTATCCTGTCAGAGTGATGCCTCCAGCAAACACTGCAGACGTCATTGCAACATGGAAACTAGTGTTCAGGAGAGTGTGCCAACTCTTCCTCGTGATTCTGATGGAGCTAATGGTAGAAAAATAAAATGTTTAAACATTTCACAGGTTTGGCTCCTCCAGTGAGTGCCAACCACCTTCTGGTAACATTTTTGGGTCCTTTAAAATACATTAACTAATATACCTCAGTGTTAGCAAATATATCTGTGACTTTTTTAATAGGTCAAACAAATACCTATGGTGCAGTATATAAGTGATGATGATGGTGAAGAGGCAGAGGAGCAGCACTGCAGTGCAAGTGTAAATCACAGGATGAAGCACTTCCACTGGAATCGAAGGTGAACCTGGGAAGTCTGGTATCTCCTTAAACATTTATGAAGAAAATGGAGAAAGCATTTTTTAAAGATTCAGTTTTTTGATTTTACAGCATGTTTACACCTCAAGGCTGTCAAAACAGAGATAAAAATAAATAAATAAATAATATATATATATATATATATATATATATATATATAGTAATTCAAATGCTTTTGTTATAATCAAACGTTTTGGTTATTTACAGCTATTTAAATATAGAGATTTTATATTATTATTATTATTATTATTATTTTTTTTTTTTTTATTTTTTTTTCCTTAATTAAAAATACAAAATATGTAATGTATATTTTTATAAAACATATAAAATAATGAATTAATTACAGATTTCCACCAATGATCAACCAAGATAACTAGTTGTATTGATTCGTCAATTATTCATGTTGTTTTCCAAATAACCCCCAGCATGATCTAGCTGAACATTAAAATGTATTGTCAGGTTGAGGGCATGTAGAATAAAATGTCATGATTAACTATTTTTAATAAAAGTGGGAAAGTTAGACTGACAATATCATCACTATTAATCAGTAAGCTGATATTATTTCATTAGCAGTAAGCTGACCTAATTTTCATTCTATTGCATTGATAGTTCACCTCCAAATAATATCTGCATGTTTAACTACTGTCAATATTAATTAGTAACTTGTCAGGAAACCTCATACTTGACTACAGTGTATAATAAAAAAAAAAAAAAAAAAAAAAAAATATATATATATATATATATATATATATATATATATATATATATATATATATATATATATTTTGTACTTTTATTTAAGGCTTGCAATGAATATCGAACCACAGTCACATGTTTGGTAAGTCTCTAATATAATATAACTACTATAAGACAGAAATTTTCACTTTTCAAGCTGTATTGTACATAAAATAAATTTTTTGAATATTATTCAATAATATTACTGAAACTAATGGAAACTGAATAAATATATTTACATACATTTGCATAGGTAAATAAACAGACTTAATAATGAGCAAAAAAGTCTATGTAAATCATTTCTATGAGGGAATAATTATAAGTAACCTATTTCATCTCTCAAAACGACATGGCATACACAGCAAATGATGGTTAATATAATCCATTTCAATATGATTTAACATTTTATTAACACTTTTCTATTGTCACTATCACCAGCGATTTAACAGTTGCAGATGGCTGGAGAACTACAAATATGTAACGGAACTAGACCTCAAATCCCATCATGCACGTCACACACACACCAGTTCTAGTTCTCGCCCAGATTGCACACATACTGTAAAGCTTGATATGAATCATAAACTGATTACATGGACTATATATTCACCACTCACACACACACACACACACATGGCTGAGTCTTGTTGTATGTTCACCTGTAACATTACCAAGCAATATTCCTGTCTTGCCACGCCTTTTGATCCTTGTCTTATTTAATTGTTTATGCTGTTTGCCGCCTGCACCGACCTCTTTGCCTGTGACCACAACTAAACTTTTGGATTACCTCAATGATACTGTTTATACCTGTTGGCCATTGCCTACCTGACAACTCTTAATAAACTGCACATGGATCCTCAACTCTGTTGTCACCCAGCTCACTATTGCATATATTAAGTTATGTTGGATATATTGGATTTATTGTGTCACAAAGCTTTGTGCAATGCATTCGGAGAACAGAATTGTAGAGGTGTGAGCATTACCTGAAGCACAGCGTAATTGCTCAGTACTGAGCAGCGCAGTGTAGATATGGACACATCACTATGAATCAGCTGACAGCCATCAAGACTCCAACTCCCATGATGCCCCAATGCCTGCGAGTTCCAGTGGGCGGCGACAGGGTCATGTCCGGGTGACGTGTGTCGTAGTGAAACAATAATGGGATCTGACTGATTCCACATGCTACATCCATCTGAAAGTAAGGGAAAAAATGTGCATGAAAGTTAAGAATTTTAGACGAGTGGATGATGCTATACTTCATTGTATATTTTATAAGTCCAAGGATGTGTTATGCCCTCCATTAAAATGCATGTACACTATTAGTACACAAGTACTCATTGTTAAAAAATTCATGAAAGTTTTCAATTCCTTGAATGGTTGAGCTGAAGGTAACTCACCAAGGCCAGCGTAGATAACAGGTGTGCTGATGCCTCGTCTGCGGGCAAGGTCCGAATGTCCGGTAAAATTGCTGGTAAATGGGAAGAATCTTCCATTGCGAAATGCAACAAACTGAAGTTTACAGTCAGGAGGAGCGTTCGGCGGGAAAAGAGTTGCAGGGAGAGAAACTGTAGCAAGAGCCACTGCATTCTAGAAATAAAACACAAAAAAGGACAACATGAGGGCCTGCCTAACATGTCTATTAAAGCAAAAAGCCACTTGAGGCAACGTGTTTCAGATACTTTACCATGATTATATGACTTCTATTTTATAAAGCCTTTTAACTGTGGGCAATATGATAGATAATGATAATTATGACAAAAACTCCAAGTAGAGCATTTGTTTTTCTCATTGACATGACTACATAACTTGTGAAAAAATAATGATTTTAGCATGCTTTTAAAAACAATATAGTGTGATGTTAATAGAAAACCGCAAATAGAATAATAGCAAGCAAATGTATTGTAATCTACATTGCAATAAATCCAATTGCAGTAGATGAACTTAAGGTTTTTTCCCATCTACTTTACTGTAATTTCTATGATTACTGTAATCTTCTGTTCTTGGTTGAAGTATGCTGCTGAATGTTCTGACAAGGGTTTGTGTTAAAGCTAAATTATGCTGCAATTTCAACTGAAGCTTGTATGTCTTGTTTTAAAGTATTCTTCTAATTCTAACTTTGTAATGATGATAGTAGTAAATTAGTACAGTTGAGTTAAAGCAAAAAGCTTAATTCAAAAGTACAGTGCCTATAAAAACCCTGGTAGCAAATAATTCTGCCTAGAATTGGCATAAATCTGGCACATCAGGCTTTCATCTAGCACTGGCATATAGCATGTGGTCCAAACATGGCCCTGGTGTGGCAGAGATGGCACTGTCTTTAAGGCGGCACACAATACTTTGGCCAGATGTAAAATGTAGCATTTGGTCCAGATGTTATTAATTTATATGTGGGCCATGTGATGTGGCCTATTTTGACTCTCATTTAAAGTAACTCTTTAATATTTTCAAATAAAGAAAAAAATTCTACCAATCAGGTCACTTAAAAAAAGCACACCTAAAGCACAATGATTCATATGTTTATCAATTTCATTGCAGTCGTGATCCACCAACATATATGGCCCAGTTCAGGCTCAGTTATAGTTTATTAACTTGGCTGAGACTTGGCCCAGATATGGTCCATGTTTGGCCCTTGTCTAGAAGCCAGGCTTGGTCCAGTCATGTACAGTAATTCACTGTGGCATGTGGGCCAAGCAAAAGCTGATTGTGTGGGTCAAAGCTGGGCCAGAGATATTTTGCATTGTGGGAAATCATCAAACCCCTTTGAAATAATTACTTTATTTGAATGTTTTCCTAACCTGTGCCTTTCTACAACTTTATCCAGGAGGTCTTTGAAAGAAGGTGTAGATTTTCACATTGTATGATGACTTTCTATACATTACATATTATAATACTTTAGTATGTTAGTCAAGTGTAATTTACAGTATTACCAAATATGATTAAATCAATCAATTAATATAGCTTTTAATATTGATTTGATCAGCATTATTACAAAAAATGCACATTTTAAAAGTTTCTTTCTTTATCGTTTTACCAGACTTGAGTATGGAAAAATCAATGCCCAAGGTATGGACCCTTTTCACAAGCCTGTTATGACGCGTTTAATGGTTATCAGCATCTATAATTCTTGAAAGGTTTTAATATTTAATTTAATTTTATGAACATTTTATGTATTTATTGTATGTAGTATATTATCTTTGCTTTAAATTACAAATACACGTATCATTTCTAATGCAGCGTCTATGGGGCAGGACAGTACATTTGAAAAATGTGTTAAATTAACAAATGCTTGCTTTTTAATGACTTAAATTTCCAGGGTTTGTGTTTTAGCTCCTGAAATTTAACTCTTTATTTAAGCTGCTTATATTTAAACAAAAAAAATACTTCACACATATTTTTATACTTTCACCTTCCAGAATTCACTTCAAAAATATTCAGTTATGTTTAAAGAAACGAGTTATGACATTCAAAAGGCAATTTTCAGCTCTTTTTATTTAAATTCAAAAACTTGCTTCCATAAATTCAGCAGTTCAAATTAGAGATTACATCCAGGAACTTTAATACTACAGGTTTTTCAATTCAAAACTCTCTAATATTATTGGGTTTAATAGTTTCTTTAACCACACATGTGCATAAAGTAAGATTATGTGCACTTCTCTTTAATAAGGGTATACGTCTGACAGCATCAAGAATGCAAACTTACACACAAACCATGACAAACCTTGAGATGGAAAGCATTCAGTGAGGTGTTGTGGGTTCCTGTGGTGCAGCGAAATCTTAGTTGCTGCTCAAGTGAAAGATCGGCCCCATCATGCACCTGGCTCCCAGCTGCCCCCTCTCGTCTCTGATAAACCGTGCAGCTAATGCCAGTGAAATGAGCAGGACGAATTAGGTGAGCCTCCATCACAATGTTACGAGAATACTAAAAAAAAGAAAAAACATGTCCTGATTTGGCGCTCAAAATAAATTAATATTGTCTTTGTTACTGTTTGATATTTTAGTTTAACTATTGTATACTGTTGCAACTTGACAGTACAATGATGAAAAATCAGCAACAATCAAGAATGCATGATTATAAATTATTATAATACAAGTCGTTTCCTCAAAAGAGCCACTAACTAAGTAAATTTGGCAAGAGTGCATTGTTGAAGCAGTTGCCCAAAATATGTGTCAAAATAAGATTTGTCACCAAATATCATTCAATTTGCTGAAACACAGAGAATGTTGTGACCAAATTAAGACTCAAAATCACTCTGAAGTAGATGAAAACATCCTCAACACTACATAAGGGTTAAACCATTGTATTTTGTAGTTTGTTTCTGGATTGTTTGATAAATAAAACATTTTAAAAAACAACATTGAGTTGGAATAATAAAAAAAAAACTCTTCAGTGACACTTTATTTGGATAGTCCATTAGAGGATTAGTAGACTTTCTGCTTAATTTCTGTTGATACTGCTCCTTCAACAGATTTAACTGACTATAAGAAACTGCAAGTACATGTCAGCTTACACTAACCCTAACTCTAACCCTAATCCTACTTGTAATCTAATGAGAGTTAGTTGGCATGTAGATGCAATGTAAATTCAACAAACCAACCATCAAAATAAAGTGTGACCAAATCTTCTGTATCAATGAAAAAGCCTTCACTGACACTTTGATGAGTTTAATGCACTCTTGCTGGTTAAAAGCCTTAACTGATGTAACATGGCATAATTAAAAACATACTCTGGAAAGGTCCTGGGCGTGAGAGTGCAACTGAGGCCAAGCAAGAGTCTCCAGAGTATAGACGATTGAACTGCAGGCTCTTTCCTCTCTCTGTGCCCGAGCCAGGATCTGATCATCTACCTGCATCAGGTTACTCCCCATTTCAACCAGCACCTCGGACAGCTGGGATGAAGGAGCAGAATGTGTATATTAGGACACACATATACAGTGCAATATATCCACTAAACTCCCTAACTCTACTAACCTCACGCAGTTCTGTAACATAATCCATGAATTTGTGCATCATCTGAGCCACATACAGAACATCCACTGTGTCAGTGAAACCAGCAGCCTCAAGTGTGTATGACCGCACTTGGTGAGCCAGAGTCACGGCATTGGAGGCATTGACAGGCATCTGAGTGAGAAAGACAAAATGAACCAAAATTTGAGTATTACACTGTAAAAAAAAAAGCATCTGTTAATTAACATTTTTGTATTTTGTGATACACAACACTCTAAAAATGCCAAGTTATTTCAATCCAGCTCTGGGTGTAATAGGGACTAAGCCAACTGCTGGTTTATTTTTCTAATTAAATTATTAGGGCCTAATTTAACCCAGTGTTTGAGTTAGTCAAAATTTTGCCCAATTTTGGTTTCAACAACCCAGCATTTCTTAGAATAAAGTGTTGTTCATTCATTTACAGTTGTGAATTGCATTATGAGACCTTGATCTCTGCTCTCCCACTAAACACAATTGTGTTCAAATTACGTCTTTTAGACATTTCTTTTGGACAATTACACATTGAAATGATGTCCCCTAAGAGTGCAGAATATACGTTTTTTATGAGGTCTTTTTTGGGCACAGACTTAGATAAAAATCAACTAAAACATCACATCTCTCAAAATCTTAGCAGGGGATCAATAAACAACTCAACAGCATCAGCAGCTTTACTTATAAATAATTTGCTTGATTGTCAGGTGTCTAGCCAAGTTCTCAGTCCCAATTATTGAGAGATCAAATGTTTTAGTTAATCTGTGAGCTTTAAGGTCTCCTCAGATGATTCCAAGCAACAGCAGCAGAAAACTGAAAAGAGTAGCGACCAAATGAAAGTGCGAACTTTGGCTATGCAAAGGTTAATAAAACTGCTAGAACACAGATCTCGATGAGTTTCCAAAGCAGCATTTAGTCAAATTAACAGTATTACCAATTCTAGAGTATGGAGATTTAATTTACAGATCAGCTTCAAAAACTCTCCTTTACAAACTCAATATTATTTACCATGCAGCAATTCGTTTTGGTACTAGTGCGCCATTTAATACTCATCACTGTCAACTATATTCTTTATTGAATTGGCCTTCTCTTCAATCACGTCAACAAATTCATTGGTTTCTGTTCATTTCTGTTCGTTTACAAAACTGTTTTTGGGAAAACTACACTATATTTCTATTAAAAACCATACATTTTGTTTTAATACTATTTAAAACTAAATGAAGATTGAAAAAAGCGCGTTGGATGCTTAAAAAAGTGGCTTGCAATGAAGAAAGTGCTCTAGTCAAAGAACTTAATGTATAGCGCATAGCTGTATGTAAAAATCACCTGCAGCAGAAACAATATCATTAACATAAATGTTAAAAAATGAAGGCCCCAATATGCTACTTTGTGGGACGCCTTTCTGAAGCGGCAGGAGATCTGACTTTGTCAAATGAAAGGTGCATTTCAAATCATTACATACTATATTTCAAAGATAAGAATCAGAATTTTTTTAATTTTTCCCCTTTTTTAAATATTTCCCAAATTATGTTTAACAGAGCAAGGACATTTTCATATTATGTCTGATAATATTTTTTTCTTCTGGAGAAAGTCTCATTTGTTTAATTTCGCCAAGAATAAAAGCAGTTTTAAATTATTTATAAAACATTTTAAGTTCAAAATTATTATCCCCTTTAAGCTATATATCTTTCGATGGTCTACAGAAAAAAACATCATACTACAATAAATTGCCTAATTACCTGCCTTTAAATGTCCCTTTAAGCTGTATAAAAGTGTCTTGAAAAATATCTAGTAATATATAGTGGGGGAGGGTGTGGGAGGGAGGGGGCTTTATAATTAAAGGGGGCTAATAACTCTGACTTCAACTGGCGCACCAAGTACCGCCGTCGCCGCGGTATGAATGGCGGCAAAAGGAACACATTGAAGTAGTAACATCTGTATAATAAAGTGAGTCAAAAAAGGAACCTAACTATCAGTAGTTATGTGTCAATCAATGACAAATCTTATTTTCATAATAAGTTTTCGAAAGAAAGCTAAAGTGCGTTACCTTCTAACCAGTGGGAGCTTGCAGCTTTTAAAATTATGTTAATAAACCAGAACTTTGCACTAACCAGTATGAATGTATGTAGTATGCGTGTGATGTCATTGGTATAAAGGCACTGAGAGTAGTCTGCCTCCTCCCAGCGTCCAGACCGGTCACAGTTACGTGAAGCCTTCTTCTGCTCCACACCACCCCCTAGAGTTAGGGAAGGATAGCGTAGCTGCAGACAGTGCTGGTAGGAGGTGATGCCAGCTAGAGTTCTAGGCCATCTGAAGATCAAACAGAAGACAGTTCATGCATTTGTTGAGAATTCTTATTTGGATACAGATAAAGCATTAGGACACCTCCCCTACCTGAACTCCCCTCGATTGTTGTTCACTTTCTGCTCCGGACAGAAGGAGGCACTGTTCTCTAGCACCACTATCTCCACACTGCAAGAGGTGTTCCCACGGCCTGTAGACACCACACATTCCCACTCACCGCTTGCCTCAACATGGACGTTTGACAGGATCAGTTCACTAAAAATAAACAGAACCATGTTATTATTTAAGTGTACTGTTGCTCAGCATGAACAGTATGGTCGAAAACCAGCTGCGCATATTTTAAGCAATTAATTTACAGCATTTGATATATAATTATGCCATACTGTGATTCTGTTGTGATTTGTTAAGCTGCTTAAAAGTGAGAAAAAACTACTACTTTAACTACTTTTAAAATAAAAGTTGTTGATATGTAGTTTCAGTATTGTTAATAGTCAAGAATGTCTAAAGCAGAGGTGGCTAAATGTTTTTGTATGAAGTGCCAAAAACCAAACATCATTGAGAGCGGTGGGCCGAAGATAAATATACTAAACTATTTTACATTTAATCTGCCAAGTGTAATTTCCTTATTTATTTAAAAAATAAATAGAAAGCATCACTTTGAATCAAGTTTTATAATGCAGTATAACTTTTTAAATTTTAACTTATTGGAACAAAAACATGAACAACTACATTTATATAACACACTGGAGTTGAATACTGAATACACTAGTCAATCAGAATCTGCCTTTGCCTTGATTTGCTCGCCAAGTCTCTCCATTGTGCTCTACTTTACTTCAGGTGACAGTATATAGCTTTCAAACTAAGTTACAGCATTTAAATTAAAAAATTTGATTTTAGGTAGCTGTTTTGTGTAGTTTAACAATAAAATAAATAAAAAGTTTACATTAAATTTAAATTAGCTTGGGTTAACTTTGGCCCGCGGGCCCTAGTGTGGGCATCTCTGGTCTAAAGGCAATAATAAAGCAAAATGTAGGTTTTTAATCCAATGTTATTTTTCCAACAATTTTTACTGTTGTCAATAATGGTTTATCCCCTATTGAACAATAAATCAATTTCATTTTATTCCCTAAATCTTTTTTCTTTATGCCTTGTCACTAATACATTAACACTAACTGTATAAATATTGAACAGAAAAATAATACAGTTTATTTTTTATTTTAAAAAATTGAATAAAATAAGTTTCTGTGCTTGTTCAACAAGTAAGACCCAATGCCATATCACCCAGTACAATCAGATCTAACCAATAAGTCACTCGGCTTGAGGAATATATAGGCAGGTCACTCCATATAAGCAAGCTCCACCCAGCTGGATCTACTGTACATCCTCCTGATTCAAGCTACAGATGGTGATTTTTTATTTGATTTATATTATAATTTTTTTGTCAAATAAATACTTTCCAAAATACTTCTGATGTTGAAAAGTTTGAAAAAGGGACTTTTATCAACATTTTTTAAAAAATAGTTTAAGGTGATACTTTGCCTTGGTTGGTGCCTTAAATTACGGTACAATACCTGGATTATTACTCCACACAGAAAACAACAACTGACACAGTTGGGGCTCGAATCAGTGACCTTCTTGCTGTGAGGTGAAAAAGCTAACCACTGAGCCACAGTGCTACCCTATTAATTAATTAATTAACAGATATGTTTTACACTGTATATATTAAATTCAACCCTAGGACTATTTTACAATAGCACTTTAATTATTTATTTATTAAGTAGCAAAAACAATTTTCCAATATAATATGCTATTTTGTGTGGAGTTTGCATGTTCTCCCCTTGATGGCATTGGTTTGCTTCGTAAAACATATGCTGGATAAGTTGGTGTTTCATTCTGCTGTGGCACCCCTTAATAAATAAAATGATAAATTGTTGGGTTGCAGCAGGAAGGGCCTCTGCTGTGCTGCTCGATTAGTTGGTGGTTCATTTAGCGTTGGTGACTCCTGATGATTAAAAGAGACTAAGCTGAAAAGAAAATGAATTAATGTATATTACCAAACTGTTTCAATTCAATATAGTATGTGTTACCTTGTGATGAAGGTACAGTCATGTTGTACACTCTCCTCCAGATGAATTCCCTTGGTAGGGTCACTGGTAACAGGCTGACCATTTTGTCGCCAGTGAAGGGCAGTAATTTTGTCAACCAAAGAGGCAGTGCAATGGAAAGGCAGCCTGTCTCCCTTAAAAACAACCTGCCGCTGTGAGGGTAATAACGACAATGTGTGCAGTTCCAGTGGACCCTCTGAAAAGCAAAATTAATTGAAATATAAACATGAGAATCACAGAAAAAAAAAATATTACAAAGTCATGGCTTGTCTGCAGTTCCAACCTGTCTCCAATAAAGAATCTGTAGTGCATTTTGAAGTGCGATTTTCAGTTTCTCATATTCGTCAGCAGTTCAGCCTCAAATTGACACAGGTAATAAAAAAAATCTACTTAGCCATGTTCATCAAAATGTCCACTTTTGATTATATAAGACTTGTTTTCAATAGCGATTTTAAAACTTTTAATATAGGCTATTATAAATCAGAAAATGAGTGTACATAGTTTTACGTTAGGAAATGCAGTCTTAAATTTACAAACAGTCGGCAAGTACTAGAGAACGGATGTACACGCTCATGTCAAAGTAAAGCTCAACTTGCTTTGTTTTGCCTTCATTCATTTTTGTTTTCAGTAGTGACATAAAACACAAGTTTTTAAACACAGGATTTTTTGCAAAACATTTTTAAACATGATAGTTTAACTAATTTCAAATAACTACTTTCTTGACTTACCCAATAGGTGCATTATATTTTACTTGTTATTTTGCAAGAAATAGTTGTATTCAGATTAAAGTGTAATCTAAAGATTTAACTAGGTTATGTTAACTAGGAAAGTAAGAATAATTGGTCAAGTTATTGTAAAACAGTTTGTTGACAATCAAAACATATAAATATCTCATAAGGAGGCTAATAATACTGACCTTAATTTTTTATTTTAATTAAAAACTGATTTTATTTAAAACTATAAGTAAGACTTATGACTCCAGAATAATTATTTTTGTTTTAAAGAAAATACAGAAAATTTCTTTGTTAGAGAGCACCTGGGAAAAATTTTGAATTAACAGGAGGGCAAAAAAAATGACTTCAACTGTACTGTTAAAGTTTAACTTGAATGTTAAAAATGTGTTATCATAATATAAAGTTACTTGTAAAATAAATTAGGATGGAAGATTAATTTGAGTTGAAGTTATTTAATTAGTTTATGAAGATTGCAGTGTTATGCATGAAAAAAGACTTTGAATAATTAAGTAGTTTGTGATGTATGTTAAAGTGTTAAAGTGGCCGCCCAAATTACTCTGGTATAGAACCGCCACTGCCCATACTGTTGCCCATCTTAAGACTTAAGAATGAGACACAATTAAACCTGAAACACTTTATCACTTGGTTTCTTAAGTCTGTAAACGTCTTATAAGTGTTGTGAAAAGAAATTGCAACATTATAAAGTGGTAAATCTTTTACTCTTCCAACTTTTTATAAAATGTGTTGCAATAGCCAAATTTGGAATATGTGTTTATTTTGAAAAACAAAACAAACAAAAAAAAAACCAAGAAAAAAAAATTTCTTGTCGGCTTAGTCCCTTTATTAATCTGGGGTCGCCACAGCTGAATTAACCGCCAACATATCCAGCTCATTTTTAAGCAGCAGATCCCCTTCCAGCCGCAACCCATCTCTGGGAAACATCCACACACACTCATACACTACGGACAATTTAGCCTACACAATTCACCTGTACCGCATGTCTGTGGACTGTGGGGGAAACCGGAGCACCCAGAGGAAACCCACGCAAACGCAGGGAGAACATGCAAACTCCACACAGAAACGCCAACTGAGCCAAGGTTCAAACCAGCGACCCAGCGACCTTCTTGCTGTGAGGCGACAGCACTACCTACTGCGCCACTGCGTCGCCTTGTATTGAAACATTATAGCAATATAAATATGTATTTTTTTATTTCTTCATCCTCTTGTAGACTTAAATTCAACTTGATACAGTTTATACAGAAATACATTAATCTGATAACGAGAGGCAGTAAACTAAGTTAAATTTAAGACATTTTTTTTACTAACAAAGCGAGAAAGACATTTGACAAATTTCTTTCTCGCTTTGTTAGTCGAAGATTTCATTAAAAGTTATATGCAAATGTAATATTGTTTTACAATGTTTGATCATATAAGTGCAGCCTTTTGTGGTTATAATCCTAAACCTTTGAGCAGTAATGTTTTGAAAAAACTTTTTATCAAGAATGTAAATGTCCATGTAATGCTCAGTCAAGTGAATGCGATACTCCTGGTGGATTCACACATGTTTTCTTGGTTTTCTGATTCTGGCCCTTTTCTTCATTGTAGACATTACATGCAATGAGTTTAAACTTTCAGTACTTCATGGATGAGAATTAATATTGTTTTATCTACTTTATTACTTTGTGTGTTCATCTTCAATCCTTGCATACTGCACTGTTAGAAATGAGAAATTCAATCTTATGCTCTGTCATAAACAAGTAGTAGGAAGCATAATAAAGTTCTTTGGGTGTTTTATTGTCATCTGATTCAAAATCAGCTTTGCTTGTGAAACAGCCTGGGTGAATCAGTCTCTTGTGGAGGTTTGAGGATATGTATTCATTACTCGAGAGCCACAGAGGGATCTTTCCTAGTCGGTCACAGCTATTCACTTCTGGCCAACATAAATATGTTTAAGAGCAGCAAAGGAAGAGATGGCGAAATGAGCTGACATTAAAACAGTAACAGGAGCCTCGGTTTGAGGCCCAAGAAATGGAAAAATGTAGCGTATGTCGAAAGCACACATGAGGTTTAATAGAAAGTCAAAGAGAAACTTAATCAGACCCTAGTAGCAAAAGTCCAAGGAATTGTGAATTTTAAACCAATATATTTGATCTTAGCTGGCTAAGAGACACGAATTGAGCAATGCAGCAGATCAGTCAAACTACAAAGAATAATCAAAGACTAAGGAGGAGCAGTTTACGATAAATTATGAAAAAAAAAAGCATTTTTCTTTTCATTTCTTTTTCGGGAAAAACAAAGAAGATCAAAAGATCTATACCATATTCATAATCATTAGAGCTTGAGTAAAAAAGTCTGGTTAAAAACAAACAAATTTAACATTACAAACATTATTATTATTATTATTATTATTATTATTATTATTTATTCATTCATTTTCTTTTCGGCTTAGTCCCTTTATTAATCTGGGGTAACCACAGCAGAATGAACCGCCTGCTTATCCAGCATGTTTTACGCAGCGGATGCCCTTCCAACAGCGACACATCTCGGGGAAACATCCATACACACTCATTCACACTTATACACTTCGGACAATTTAGCCTACCCAATTCACCTGTACCGCATTTCTTCGGACTGTGGAGAAAACCAGAGCACCCGAAGGAAACCCACACGAACGTAATTATTATTATTATTATTATTATTATTATTATTATTATTATTATTATTAATAATAATAATAATAATAATAATAATAATAACAATAATAATGATAAAGTCAACAAATTAATACAATTATTATTATCATTAAAAAATAATAGTTTTAAATATAATAAATAAAATTTTAAATATGATTTAAGTGTTATTTAAATAACAATAATAATAATAATAATAATAATAATAATAATAATAATAATAATTATTATTATTATTATTATTATTATTTTTATTATTATTATTATTATTATTATTATTATTATTATTATTATTATTTAAGAGGCACAATACACTCAACACTGTTATACATATACACCCGATACCATGTACGCAGGGCATATAGCATGAAGCTAATTTGCAGTCCTCGTCCCTGGTTGGGCTTTGCATAAAAAAAAAATAATAATAATGATAATTAAAATAAAAATTTTACAAATAAAAACATTGTAAAAACACTATATAAATAAGCATGAATTGAATTGAAAAACAATACAACAACCATGTACAATATATATAGAGCCACAAACATAAAATATGAGTCAATCTGCATACTAAAGAAAAATGTAAACCTGATCAACCTGAATGAATGAATACTTAATGTTCACATTGCTGTAAAGATTTCTACCATTCTTTCAAAAAAAAAAAAAATAAATAAATAAAAAACTGTGAGTTCTGTTTGTTACTTCAAATCAACATGGCATTCCATACATGATAATAATAATAATAATAATATATTTTAAAATAAATTTAGATAAAATAAATATAATATAGATAAATATAGATGCAGATAATAAATAAATATAGATTAAAATAAATATTTTAAAAATAGGATATTGTGGTTGTAACACTGATATTGATTTAACTCACCACAGCTGAGGTCACTCTCTCTTAGAAGACGTAGGGGTTTGTTTTGAAGCCGTCTGGGATATGCACATAAAGTTTCATCCCCCAGTCGAGCAGAACCACTGCGGAAAAAACTTGGGACCCAGCGAAGACCGCAGTCACACGACAGGAACTCAGAATGGAAGTTCCTAATAAGAACAACATTGGATGTGAGAATAAAATAAAGCATGCTGCTCATTTATTTGTGTAATAAAAAGTCATGTATTATCTCCTAATTCTCAAAATAAATGAATAAATAACTTTCTTTGATATGTTGTAACATTACAAACTAATCTTTAAATATGTTTTTTATTTTATTATTTTTAAATACAAAGCATTTCACATTTTCATAAGAATATCCTATTGCAATATAACCCATCGCACTTATGTGACTGTTCAGTTTTTCATCAACATGAAAGATTAATATGTATATGCATTTTAAACTTGACATTGGAAGTTTTTTTGCAGATTTGATGTGTACAGTGGTCCCTCGCCATAACACGGTGCCTTTGTGGTCTTGCAGTTTCATGGATTTTTTTGTTTGCAATTTGACAGGCTTTTTTTTTACAAGCATTGTGTTCTGCACCCTGATTTATGCATTGTGTTTTCGTCGTGATTGGATGTAGACCAATGTCAATCAAACTCCTCCGTGTCGTGTCTCCTGTACAGTACAGAAACGTTCAGCTTGACAATTATACATAAATCTTTGATTGCTAGCAGTGTGACACTGAAATGCTGTACTGTTTGCATACATCACACTTTCTGACACTGCCTCAGATTTATGGAGAAAATAAAAATAAAAATGAAGTGAGTCAATTTTTGCAACTCTAGGCTAGTTGTTTACATGTGAACACATTTTTTTGTTAAAACTTCATCTAATCTAGTTAATTTTGCAGGTCCTGTTTAATAACATATAATCATGTGTACTATGAGAGCATTTACTTGAACTTACACTAGCTTGAGAGAGTGCAACTCCATAAACACATTTGGGTCCAGAGAGGAAAAGATGTTTCCAGAGATGTTTCTGTAATATAAGAACACAAATTAAACATTCAATAGTATAATACAATATTGTCATATACATGTCAAGCACTTCAGCAATTGTGGTCTTCACTTACAATTTAGTGAGGTTGGTAAGTCCCTGGAACATTTCTGGAGTCAAGCACCCAATTCGGTTACTGGAGAGGTCACTGCGCAGATTACAGCAAATACGATACAGTGTTATAGTGTGTTCCAGCTCAAGCTATAAAGGGTTAGGGGTTATGGATCTGTGCTTTATAAAACTTAAAACACTTTATTATTCAGTAGACATTACAGAATGATCAGTGATTTACTCTTTGAAACTGTACATGTTCAAACTAAAAGCTACTTAATATTTGTTTGAAAATGTATCATGAAATTTACCAAAATTGAAAGCAAAGACATGTTATGCAAATTGAACTTTAAAAAAAAGTTTCACATTTTTCATAAAAATTTAAATAATTAAAACGTTATTTCATCAATGGTAATGATAATAGTCATTTTTATTACAGTTTTTTCTTAGTCGCTTTGGTACATTTGCCAGATCAGAATTAAAATTTGCAAAACAATAAGCACATTCCTCAAAACAACACGTACAAATGACATAACACCATGGTTAACTAGTCTCTTGCCTAAAATCCTTAGTTCATCTCTCATAACTATCTTTCTGTGTCAATGAACATGTCAGTGGCATCAGAATGACAAGTCCTTGTGTCATTGTGTGTGGATAAGACAATCTGCATTTACACTCCATGGTTCAAGTGACTCAATTCAGATTTTTTTCTCCCATGTGGCACAGATCAGATATGGCTCATGTACGTGTAAGCAGGAACAAATCACATGGATTCCGATTTAATCAAATCACATTCACGCCTTGTTTATATGTGGAAATTTGCGAGTCAATGCGAGTCACGCGTCATTAAATTCAATGCAAATTATGTAAACTCTGATGCTTTAATTTCAGAACAGACTTCAGCAGAGTCCCAAACCTTAAATCTCATACACAAAGACTAAAAAAAGCTTTTATATTGTCCTGTAGCACAAGTATTTAAGCATGTTAACGAGAGAGAGAGAGAGCAATATCCATAAACAATCTAAACTAATATAAAACTATTCCACACATCACGTGCATAAATCGCGCCATGAAAATTACATTAAAACGCCTACTGGTTTAAAAAGGCCTACTTTAAAAGAAGATGGCAAAATGAAAACTTTTCTGTCATAAACTATAGTAAAACAACTTGTAAAAAAAGAATTTAAAAAATGAAGCCCCTCGAACAGAATAAATACAGGAATGGAGAAAAGAGCGCTCTTTATTATCAGCTGTCAGTCAGTGCCCGCTCTTTTTTTCCTGTTCATTGAGCCTTTTGACTTGTGCTGTGTAAATGCAAACAATCGCATACTAGTCACTTTGAAAGATGATGTAAGCAGGTCATCAAAAAAATCGAATACAGTCACAAAATCAGAATTGACCATCAGGATCTGCAGTGTAAATGCAGCCTTAGTCATGTTGTCAATATCACTATGTTCTGAAGAGGGGCTCTGATGTAAACTATAGCATTTTTTTCTCTTTGTACAGTAAGTTGTTGACAGATCATGTCATCGTGAAACAGAAAGGAAAATACATTGCTGCATAGCACAAAGAAAATCTAAACAAAAGTAAAAATGTGTACATAGGACAATCTGTTTGAGATGCACCTTCATTAGAAAAAAGTTAAGATTCACCTGGGAAAAATTTACCAATTCTAAACAGATTTAGAAAAAAAAAGTCTTATGGAAATGTTTAGAAAAATGCTTTATGACAAAATATTAAGACAACTTCAGCCATTTTGCATGTGAAGACTTTAGCCATGAATAAACAATTAAATGTTATGGGGGTGAGACTTTTCAACTTACCAAAATAGTCAATATTAATCAACATGACATAAGAAACTGATAATGTAGGAAACATCAATTGCACATAATCATTTGTTTGAATTTACAAAAGCATTTGCAACTTGTTCAAAGGACTGAGAAACTGCTTTTCTGATGTGCAGAAGTGACACAATAATGTGGGGATTGAACAGGTAGCGTTGAGAATTTCAATTCTGATCTGAGAAATGGACTGTGACAGAAAAACTGTAATTGAGCACCTGTACTAATAATTGTGTACCACTTCGCTTCTTAAATTTGGCATGATCTCTAAATTTACTATTCTTATTTTAATATATACAGTGGTCCTTCACTATATCTTGCAGTTTCACGTTTTTACAGTGCATTGTGCTCTGCGTCCTGATTAGCACATTGTGTTCTATGGCTGATTGGCTGTAGACCAATGTCAATCAGTCTCCTCCATGCCATGTCTCCTTTATAGTGCAGAATGCATTCAGCTTTCCAAATATACATAAATCTTTGATCGCTAGCAGTGTAACTTTGAATTGCTGTATGTTTGCAAGCTTTCTTCACAACAAACCCCATAATGTCGACTGAACATTCGGCACCATCAAAGGCAACCACGGTAGCACAGAGGAAGAAGCTAACAATCGCACAAAAACTTGGACTTCTGGACATGCTAAAGAAAGGTAGAAGTTATGCGAGTATTTGAACAAGAGAGAAAAGTGTGAACATGTTAATGCACATTTAACCTTCCTGTCGTGTTCGGGTCAAATCTGACCAATTTACAACTTAAATCACTCATAAATTATGTGTTTTACATCTGATTGCCTCAAGGCCTTAAAGTATCCTCCACACTGTGCATCTAAACATATAAAAGTAATGCTCACCTCTTTCATTGAATTTTGAGTGTTTAATCAACTTTGTTACACCTGTGGTGTTCCCGGTCAAAAGTGACCACCATAGGAAATGAATGGGTATATTCATTCATCCGATAGAAAACATCCTCACACACGCTACCCCAACTCACTCACTCACTCACTCACTCACTCACTCACTCACTCACTCATTTCAGACTGAACAATGTCTTACAGGTACACATCTCTTGAACACATCGATTATGTGCTGATCCTCCAGCCTGATCTCACAAGGAAACATAACTATTTTACAATTTGTCAGTTTAGTGGCTAATTCATATAAGTTCTGTCATACAACATTGCACAATTTGTAAAAGGAAGCGTGGCACACAACTCCACCCCTTTTTGTTGAAGTTGTTGGATCCTCCAACGTGAATCAACGTTCTGATAAAACAGTGTTTTATCTTCACACAGACTGTTGTCTGTTGACTGTTGGTGTCTGTTGTATGAATCCATCTGTGTGTCTTTCTTTATTTCTTTTTCGTTATTTCTTTCTTTATTCTTTTTTTTTATTTATTTATTTTTCTCTTTGGGAAGAAGCACAGAGATGGACTTTTTCTTTCTTTCTTTCTTTCTTTCTTTCTTTCTTTCTTTCTTTCTTTCTTTCTTTCTTTCTTTCTTTCTAATCTCCGTTTAGCCAATATCTGAATCTAGCAGGAGCTCTTTTAGCTTAGCAACAATTATTTTATTATATTATACTGTTATTATCTCACTCAAAAATGACCAAAGTACACGTAACTAGTGCTAGTTCTGTGTCCATGCTCACCGTATATACCCTCTATCACTATTCCCTATCACTAGTCACTACTCCCTATATTAGTACATTTGAAGGACAGAAAATTCGATCACTCAGAACACAAGAAAGGATAGCATTTTGTTTGTGCTTTACTGGTTAATAAATCATTCAGATAGATTAAAATTTCAATTTATTTGGTCAGACCCTGTGAAAGTGAATTAAGCGAGCTGTCTATTAGTAATGAGCAATGTTTTTTTGATTTCTGTCATCTGATGTTCATTTATGTAATACATTTTTACAGCGCCTATTTTTATTTTCATTAGTTATTTTATGTCTAATTCTGTAAATTTATGTTAAACACTACTTTGAGACATTCTTCACAGCCAAAGAATGTTCAATAAAAATTTGGTGGAGGAAAATGATTTTTGTGTTAATATAAGAGCAGTTAAAGCAGACCAGTCAATTTTGACCATGAACACTAAAGTAGGGGCAGGATGTGAACACGACAGGTGGGTTAAGAAAATAGTTTAGAGAGGGGTTTTACAGCCTTAAAACATCTATAATAACTGTAAAAAATAAAACAGACTACTTGGTGGATTTCAGCTATTGTGAGCTATTTTTAAAACATAACTCCTGCATTTAATGAGGGACCACTGAACATAGTTGCTTGTTATAAATCCCCCACTGCACATTTTTGTTTCATTCATTTGCCCACACAATCTTTAATCAAATACCATAATCTTCCCTCTCTCTTGAAACAACTTTTTTTCATTTCTGGTCACATGGAATGCCTTTAGGGCGTGGCAATTAGTTCATGTCTTGTTTCTGCCAAGTCTTCGCTTGAGGCACTGTTTTGAGTGAATGTTATCCGATTCTGTCGATCAAATTTGCCACCTCGTTCTTGTAATCATTGGGCATCTGAAAACATTTTGCACCAGATGATGCCAATGATGATTCTGGTGGATTGTAATTTATGATGGAATTGTTTAATGTTTGATTGTTCTATGGATTTAGCCAATGCATGTTCAATGAGAGTCAGTAGAAGTTTCTTTAATGCAAAAGCAATAGCAATTTATTGAATACAATAAAATAATTGGAAATCCACCACAGCTGAGTGCAAACTTGCATTAAAATCTTCCTCCATTTTGTTAGCAAGCCCAACTCCAATGATCCAATCAGTTCCCAAAGTATTAAATCAACTACATTTTTTTTTCTAATTTGTGAAACTGTTTAAATTGGATGTACATCACATGGTAAAAATTGCATTCTTAACTTTCGTTTCATTCCAACTTCAAGGATTATGTGACACTGAAGCCTGTAGTGTGATTTGTGACTAAATGAATAGCTGAAATAGGATTAAAGAAAAAACACTTTTGTAAAATTGTAATAATAGTTTACAATGACATTGAATAAAAAGACTTATTAAAACATTCTCAATTATTCTTATTTCTTATTCATTCTTAAACAACCTGGTAAGTGAACATTATTAGAATTACTGTAAAACAGCATAAAACATACAGAGAACAATGTAACTTGAGAACATAATCACTCACAGGTGTGGATACAAAAGATAAGGGGAAAGATCATGATATTAAGATGCAACTTACAGTTTTCGAAGTGCTGTGAGACCCAGAAAGGCTCCGGGCATAATGGTGCTGATCAAGTTATTCCTGAGATCCCTGAGAAAAAGACAAACAGAGTTGCTGTTTTTTAGCAAATGAAATAAGATGTATTATCAATTAATCAACCTTTGTTTATATAGCATCTTACTAAAACCAAGGTTGACCAAATGACTTTACACCAGTAAAAAACAAATTACACAACAAAACTAGAAAGCAAACAATGTAAAAACAATATAAGAAGTGTCAAAAAATCATAAAAACAAAGAATGCATTAAACACCATTTTGAACATAAGATCTTAAGCTCATAACTGGTATATAGCAACAGATTTCCATTAGGTTTAGCAGATTTATTTCTGCAATTGGCCTATTTTCCTGTATGTGAGCAATATGTTATTTTATTACTAATTCTGCATGTGCTTTGAAAGAAAAGGTTTGTAAAATGTTACGCGTTAGTAGTGCATATGCTAACCTGACATCCAAAAACAGCCAGTTCATATCAGCATAAAATAACAGAAACTAAATATCAAACAATGTTCACATGCCAATGACTACAAGACCCTTGCCCTGCTTTCAACATAGTTTCATTTGTCCTGCCTCTGTTTGTGAAAGGAAGAAAATTCCTGCATTTTTAAACCATATCTCAAGACACCTGGTCCCGGAGCTCAAAACCGAGGCAGATCCCTCAAGCAGAGAAAATAGACAAACTCAGAAGGAAGAGAAAGTTGAGATGCTCTCATTAAACCATGGACATTTATAATGTAACTATTCACACAGCAAAGTTACACATTCACAAGTCAAATTTACCTCTTAAACACATGCAGATGTTTCAGCCTGGTCAAAAAAGGGTATACCATATCTTTAAAAGGGCAGTGTATTAAGAAAGTAAATCTGATCTACAATATAATATAATATAATATAATATAATATAATATAATATAATATAATATAATATAATATAATATAATATAATATAATATAATATAATATAATATAATATAATATAATATAAAATAAAATAATATAATATAATATAATATAATATAATATAATATAATATAATATAATATAATACAATATAATATTATATAATATAATTTAATAAGGTGTGCTGCATATTTATATAATTCAATCTTAAATATATTTAAATCAAATAAATATAATATAAACATAATTAATATAATAAGCACAATTTTATTAAGGACAGAATTCTGCTTTTGTAATGTACAATACATCATTCATAAATCAGCATTGTAAATCTACAGCCAGGGCCAGCCCAAGCCAATTTGCCACTTTAGGTAAGATTTACTGTTTATTTATTTTTTTATTTTTTTATACACACATGCTAAAATATAACAAAATATTTACTATAATTGCAATATATTGAAGACTATACACTCTCTGAAATAAAGGTACACGAGCTGTCACTGAGGTGGTACCTATTTAAAAGGTACAAAGATTTTAAGAGGAACACTTTTGTACTTTTTATGTACCCTTAAGGTATTAATGTTGACCTTTTAGGAACAAACTTGTACCTTTTGAAAAGAAACGACCCCAGTGATAGTTTGCGTACCTTTATTTCTGAGAGTGTATTAAACTATAGATACATAACATTTAGCGAAGGTTTTAACTAGAACTAAAAATGAACAATGCATTTGTAACAGTATTTCTTACTTTTGTTGATGCTAGTTATTGAAAAGGAACCTTATTTTTAAATTGTTTCTAGTGATACTATATATAATGAGTAAATATATAATTTGGTAAACGTGTTATGTGATGAGAAATATGACAAGGTTTTGTGACAAAAACTAGGATCTCTGCAACAACAGACACGTTTTTTTGTCAACTTTGCTTATGATCATCCTTCATTCATTCATTACATAACATTAACTCTCTCTATCCGATTTTTCTTCTAGTTTTACTATCCCTTTTTTTTTCACTGGCTACCAGAGTGGTTTGGTTTTTGGTATTGTTTGTTATTGTGATAGTTTACTTATGCATATATCACAATCAGGTAACTATAAAAACTGTGGCTTTGCTGGGGAGAATTGATCATGATCATTGATCAAACCAGGGTGAGTCCCAATTAAATAGTTCTGCTTTTGTAGGACGATCACTTTTGTAATCTTTTAATTCATTCTGTTGAGGTAGCACTGGTAATAAAAAAAAAGAACTGGATTTTTTTTTTTTAAATACTATTTTCGACATCAAACATATTTAGAAATGGAAAGATAATACAATTAAAAGTACAAGCTACAAAATTACAAATACATTTTTTAAATATTTTTGCTTCTTTAGATTTTTTCTTTTTTTAAAGTTGTATTTAATATTTTTCTATAACATATACATTTGGGTAAGTTATTTTGTCAGATAAGCTCCAAATTTGGCTTCAATACTGACTTATCTAAAGCATATAGACATATATAATATTGTATAACTTCCTATGAAAATTATGAATTTAAAAGATAGATTTGTGGGGGGTGTACTAATAAATGCTGAGCACTCTATCTAGGAGCAAGGTGGCAAAAAATATATCCAGGGTCAAATTCATCTTGCCCCAGATGTGTTTTGGAGCCAGCAGTCATATGTTCTGGGGATGCCATAGATTATATAAATTTTGGACAAATATCATTGGATCATATTCATAATATAGAGGTGAAGCATCATCTTTTGACTTAAATTATTTGTGGAGTAATGCCAACCCAAGCTCATTCTAAAAACGTACCTCTATATACATTTCTGGAGAGCGCCAAATACACCCCAAGAGCTACGCTTTTTTGCAGTTTTTGTTTTCATGAATCGCCCAGAGGTCACTGTGTATGCTTTTTCAGATCTCAAATTTCCCTCACAGGTGCCATTAGTGCCTGCTCTTCTTGTGTTAATCCACCAGAGGCTGCTGACGACTGAGTGTTTGACTAACTGAATGACTGACTGACTGACCAATCAACCCCCGAAACCCTCCTCCTTCCCTAAACTCAATCAATAATATTTTCAAAAGCACAAACTGAACCGCCTACCCACTTCCCTAAACCCAACCGACAAAGCAAATCAATGCAAAAAAGAAAAGCCCTCGTCCAATTTTTACCACTTTTTTTAGATTTTACCACATTCTCACTCTGTTATTTACTTGTTTATTTTATTTTTTTGGATTCTATTTTTGTCTTACCCGCTATATGCAAGTGTTTTTCACTGGACTCGAATCCTGTCATCGTTGTCAACTCCTCTCAAGTCCACTGACGTACATATGGCGAGCTAACTGGACAAACTGGTAACAGCGGGAAAGTCGTCCATACAGAGGTAAGTGGTCAGCTGGTAGGCGCAAAAAGGAACGGCATCAAAGTTTAAAAAAAAAACAAATGCAGCCATATGTACTTATGGCTACATATTTCGGGATCTCCAGAAATGTACATAGAGCTACATTTTTAGAATGAGCCTATGTTGAGTAATGCACCTATTAGCTAATCATGTAATCATTGCCTTCACTTCATTATGGTTAGATGCCTGATACTTCTCAGGTGGAAAAAAAACAAAGCCACTATCCCACAAACACTGGGTATTAGAATTGTATCAAATCTTAAAGTTGAGCACCTTAAATATGCCATCAGAGGCTCTACAGAAAAGTGTTATGAGCTTTGGCAGCCTTTTCTGTCTTACATTAAATACTCAGGGGTTACTATATCCAAAGTGAAAGTTTAACCCCAAATTTTTCCTCTTCTCTTTCTTTGGGCATGAGTATGTTTATAGCTATGCACTGTATTCAATATGTGTGTTTGTGTTGTGTGAAAATTGAATACTATTCAAAATCAATAAAAATATTTAAATAATAATAATAAAAAAAAAACCTTCACTCATTTTGATGCTCCTAGAGATTGGCGATGCCCTTAGCGTTTCCCTATTTTGCCTATACTGTATGCCATGGGCCGGACTACATTAGATAATGTTGCAGCATGATCTCATGTGCAGAATATAAACTCGAACATTACACAGCTTGATATCAGATATGCTGTATATATTTGCAAGGAACCAAGACATTTACACTGGCATGACAGAATGCAGCTAGCAAAGTGCTATCCAGTTACATCTGTATAGTCAAGTCAGTGCAACATGATTGACACATTAATAGCAATCAAACGAATATGTGGAGAGACGTGGAGAGGCAGAAGGTGAGAAAGTGACCGCAGGAGAAAGCTATGCACAATTAAGTACATGTGTGAATTCCTGTGAATAAAGAGAACACATTGCGTTCATAGAGAAAATAGGACATATTAGAGTATTTCAGTCTGTGAGTTGCTCAATGAATCTGCTAACAAATGTGTGTGTGTGCCAGTAACGGTGCTCTTAGACAGGGAACAATAGCTGTTTCCTGGCTAGCGTGTCCTAACCCTCATTAGCACTGTGATGAAAAGGGAGACTCTACCCACTGTTTCCTCACACACACACCGCTAGAGTAAAGGTCAGAGCAAAGTGTGCTCTCTGTGTGTGAAGATCAACACAACGGCTCACAGACACTCTCTTATCGCTGAGATGGGGAATTTGGAACAGGCAGAGCTCTCTTCCTAAAGTCTGGAGCGCACACACATACCGCATAAGCATGACTTGAGCTTTATGGTTTTTATTCTGCGTGTTATTCTTGATCGACTTTGAACATATGCATTTGGAAAATTGACAGTCTTGTCTAAATATTTATTGCTGACAAGTGAACTTATTTTGATGTGTATAGTTAATTGTAACCTTAAAATTACATCTGACTTGTTTTTGTTAAAATCTACTTACAGTATTCTTACAGTATTTTTATTCTGTGACATATTGAGCATGAGCCGTGAAGCTAGAATCATGTTGCGTTTCCACTGTCAAGTTAGCAGCATGTAGCGTGTCACGCAAACCCCGCCCCCACAACATCCCCCGAATCAAACATCACACAACCTGCCCAGTTCAGCGGGAATCAGCAAACAGACAAAGGCAAGCACACCATCGCATCATCACAAAATGATTAAAATGAAGACAACCAAAACAAACAAATGACACGTTACTAAACTCTGGAATACCCTAAAGACACGTA